TTTTTAGGTTTATTTTTATTTCTGAGAAGCTGCTCCATGCATGGAAGACCAGCTGGTAGCACTGTTGCCTCGCAGCACGAAGGTCGCCAATTAGAATCTCTGCACAGTTTCTTCTTACACATGCATGGGTTTTCTCCTGGTGCTCTGGTTTCCTCCCACAGACCAGAAACATGCATGATGGGTTGAGCAGAGACAGAGTGTCCCCGGGTGTGAGAGTGTGAGTAGATGTTTGTCCCTCGGATGAACTGTAGACATGTCCAGGTGTCCTTTCCTTCTCTGCTGATGACTGCTGGAGCTCACTAGGTCAGCTCTGCGTGACCTAGTGTGGAAGAAGCAGCTCAAATGGATGTTTCAGTCCCTCTGACAGCAGACGTGAAGCAAAGCTGCTGCTAGAATCTAATCAGTCACTGATAAGCTCTAATATAACATTTTCAGTTGTTTTTAACGCCAAAACTAAAATAAACAATAAACCAAATGATATTACATTTTAGAAAATATTTATGTTTTAAGTCTAAGAATCTGCTGGTTCATCACACTTTTGTAACTTCTAAAAAAATTCAATTGGGCCTTTTTATTAGTCAACAATCAACCGTCACCGTGTGAAATCCACACAATAAAACTCATGGGTGAGTTGTTTTTCACACATTTCATTCCAACCTTGACCTGTTTTCTTCTACTTCTTATCTGCGTGGGTGCTCTCACTAGACTTACACTCCACTGATACTGGGTTATTGCACCTCATTAATAAAAGCATATTAGTGTCAAAAGTCCTATTCTTTGGGACACTCAGATTTTTTACTCATTCTTAGTTCCCTAAAAGGAATAATCACATTTTGTCTTATAAAATTTAATGTTAACACCTCTGGTGGTAAATGTGCACAAAACAAAAAACGCAGCAACCATAGGCCCAGCGAGCGCGCAAACAGGAAGGAAATGAACGGTGGAGATGTGTAGAGTTTCAACTAAACACACACATTCACAAAACATCTTAAAAATGTGTTTTACAACTGACGAGCATTTGGTTTGGTAGATCAGTTCAGCGTACAAAAACAGTAATCAGCCATTAGTTTTTCTGAGGAAGTGCTTGCAAGTTACAAGCCTAACCAATGTTAAAGATAACGCAGAACGGGCTGCAGCGTGACTTCACACCTCGGCTGTTTGACCACCTACATGACTCGGTGTTTCAGAGGCCCACGGAAGAATGTAACAGAAGATAAAACTGTGGCGTAGTTGGTGCTCTGCGGTCTGGTGTTTTTAGTTTTACCTGAAGTTTAATATGACGACAAAAGAAAACCTGAGAACTATTAATACATTTTTATCTGTTTATTTGAGATTTCTGGAAAAAAAGGAAACTTATGTTAGATAATTCTCATTTTTTAAAACAATTAAACCATTTTTTTCTGCACTGAAGATTAAAATCTTGATAAACTGTTGCCTCAGAAATATTACAAATGTATTATTATTATTATTAGTAGTAGTAGTAGTAGTAGTAGTAGTAGTAGTGTCGGCAGTGTGGTTGTGAAATAGGAGGAGGAGGAAGTGTGAAACTGTGAGGGGATTAAGACTTTTGGTCAAAGTGAGAAAATAAAGAGTTTCACATTAGTGGGTGATTTATGAGTTTTTACTCGTTGTCACTACTAGAGGGTGAAATTGGCCTTTCAGATATTTACTATCAGCACCAAGGCGGTGTTTGGTATGGTGGCAGGCTGCTATAAGAGCTTCACAGTAGAAACATGCCTCGTCTCTGCTTTATATTTAATTAAATGCTGATGTTTGTATTTCATGTCTGATTTTAAATGATTTTACATTAAGGCAGTTTGCATTACTCTGCCTCATGTCATACTCTAAAACTGTAAAATGTAACTCTTTTAAATCAGAGATGAGAGGAAAGAACAGGCCAACTAGATTATAATATTATTTATTATGTTTGATTCCAGTTTGACCAACTATTATATCTTTCATTTCTCCATTTCCCTGGAGCCTTTAGCGTTCCAGTCTAAAGGCTAGGTTCATCGTTTGTCGTTTTTCTTTTTGCAGTAGATCCAGTGTGAGCCGTCTCTAGTCCCAGCAGGTTTACACGTCAGTCAGAGGAGTGGTGGTTTATTTGATGTGTTTGCAGACTACAGGCTGCTGTTTCTGAACCCTAAAGTGTGAGTCAGTCCGTCTGGCAGCTCTCCTCGAAGACACAGCAGAGGAAATGTGTGTTCAAGGTGGTAAACTTAGAAAGAATTATGACTCCACCTGAAACTTCTGCCAGCTGGATGCAGAGAAATGGTAAATGCCCTAGATTTATAGAGTGCCTTGTAGAGCTCTACAACCCCCCAAGGCACTTTACGACACCAGTCATCCACCCATTCACTCACATTCATACACTGATGGTAATGAGCTACATTGATGCTCTGGGGCTACAATGTGTTGGGGCACACTGACAGAAGCACAGGCACCACTGGTCCCTTTGACCACCATCAGGTTATAACTATGCCAGATGGGATGTGAACCTGCAACCTTCCAGTTATGGGGTGGGCATTACACTCCTCTGCCCCAGTGCCCCCAAGATATTTACACAGAAAACTAGCACACACCACTCACCTAAAGGTGCTGTGAGCCCGGGTTTCTGGATGATTCTGTAGTTCCCTTGAATCCAATTCAGTTTCTAAAAAACATACTACAAAAGGTGATAATTCATTCATTCATTCATTCATTCATTCATTCATTCTGTGGTTTTATGTTTGTGCTGTCAGAACTATTTTGAGAAACAACCAAGAGTCTGAACCTGCTGGTGGGGTTGGCAGGGACCGGCGGTGCCTTTAGTGAGTCCCAGTGCAGCTGTGGCTGCAGCTCATCACCACCAATGCGTGAATGACTGATTGTAGTGTAAAGCTCTTTGGGGGGTTTCTAGGACTCTAGAAGAAAGTTTAAACTCTTTTTGAAAAGTTATTAATTTAACTGAGTAAATGTAACCAACTAGTTAATGTTCACTTCTGCTAAATTAGTATTCTAATTGAAAAGTACGAGAGCTTCAAAGGAGAAGGCTGAGCAGAGCACTATCAGAGGCCTCCAGTGGATGTTTGCAGCCTACATACAAAACAACAGAAGTAGTCTATTTATGCTCACTCCTGAGTAAATTAGCACCCCTGTTCACATACAAGTAGAACCAACAGACACAAACAAGAGACTCTAATCTTTTACAAAGTTTGTGTGTTTATTTATATGCTGGGTTTTTGCAACTGCAAACATAAAGATGTCAGAGGTCAAGAATCAGTGTGTACCGGTCAGATGCGCTGCTGACTGGAGCGGAGAAGAGGTGAGGATCCAGACCGGGGAGGAAGCAGGCAGACAGGTAGTAATCCTTAACACAGATTTATTGGAACGCATGCAGGACAATGAAACAATGATCCGACCCAAGACACAGAACAGAAGGGGTTTAATACAGGAGGACCGGGAGCTAAGGTGATTGGGAAAACGAGAGGCAGGTGGGAGTAATTAACGAGACACAAGGCTGAACCAAACAGGGAGACAGGACAGGGTGCGACAGTACCCAAGGGTGACCAGACCCCAACTCGCCAAATGTGGGACGGAGGCTACCAAATGTGGGACAACTTGAAATCCCAATGCAAATAGACAAGGTAGAAAAATAAATGAATAAAACTTCTGCCTTTTAGCTCAAAGACCACTGTTAAATATACATAAAATTATTATTATTATTATTATTATTATTATTATTATTATCATCATATGTTGAGAAGCAACATGTTTTCTTTAACTAAAGAGTGTTCATACAGGACTGTGATGTAATCTGTGTTAAACATGAATTTGTTTGTTACCCTCAGGAGGTGTCCTCTGTGGCAGCCATTTTGAACCAGCTAAAGAGGAAGCCCGCCTCTAATGCTGCCTAAATACCTGAGTGGGCTGAGGTGATTGGCCGACTTGAATTGAAGGGGGGGTCGGAGAGTATATAAGTGGACTGCTGGGTGTGGCAAGGGATCGATCTCTCTCTGAAAGTGACTGAGACTGGAAGAGAGACGGATGGGTGTATTTCTTTCTGGATTCCGAAATTTAGTAAATATTATAAAAGTCGAGCATCTAATAATCTGTCAGTATATACAGTGGAAATGTTGGCCATTTCATTTAGTTTACAGTGGATAGAACAAAACGGTGTTAGGAAAAGTATTATTTGCTCGGACTCCATGTCTGTATTGTTGTCAGTTAGAGAAATGTCAGCAGATAAGAGGTCAGATATTTTGTATGAGATATTCGAGTGCTTGTTTAGGTTGATGAAGACTGATTCAGAGGTTAGATTTATGTGGGTTCCAGCTCACAGTGGAGTAGAGGGGACATGAGCTTCAATATGGGGGACGAGAGAAAAGTGATGAAAACACGGGACTGTCCCACACAAAGCAGGACATCTGGTCACCCTAGTCTACCCACCTAAATGCCACTATGTCAACAAGCAAGTAGCCTGTAGAAGCATGTAGATGCCAGACCCACTCAGTCTACATCAGATTGTAGCAGAAATTCTGAAATCAGTCATTAATTATCTCTCATCAGAGAAGCCAAGAATGGCAGAATTTGGTTTCCTTGTTTTTCAGGGCTGAAGTCAAAACCAAGACCATCACTAAAAGCTTTGACTTCCTGCACATTAAAAGCCACAAAACACAGGAAATTGTTGCTTTCATGTGAAATGCCAGCCTGAAGAAAATGCAATCCCATTTTGTTGCTAAAATACGTAAAAATCAACACAAAGGTTTGTGACATAAACCTTTTTATTATCTGCATCCTTAAATCTGCTTCATGTGTGTTAACTAACAGCTCTGTGATCTGGTACAGATACTGAGTGTGTGTTTAACACACATTTCTCAAGCCGCACTGGCTTCCTGATTCTAGCCCTGTCTCCATCCTAAAAGCTGCTTTCACTGCCAAAAAACAACAGAGGAAATCCCTTAAGAGCATTTTCAGTTATCTGAAGTAAAACAGGAAGAAGAGTGCTGCTTGGTTCACTGTCAACATCAGGAAAGGCCCAGCAACGTGATTAAGATCTCTGCTGGATTTTAAATCGTTCAGTTCAATATCTATCAACTCTATTGGACTGTGATTCTCTTCTGACCTGCTGTCCCATTCTCCTCATTCAGTCTGTTGATCAGGTGCTTTTCCAGCAGCAGCTTGAACAAACTCATGCACATCAGCAGCAGGCTGAGATGAGATAAAGAGGGCCGGGCTACTTTCTAAATCACCTCAAGACCTCCGGCGTTGAGCCTTAGCATGTCTCCTCTCAGACTGGGACACAGACGGTTCCTGCTGTTCCTTTCTCACCATGATCTTCTACCTTCTCCTCCCAGCTCTCACTCTTGGTAAGTTTCTCTCTTTGTGTCCAGGTTTCAGGTTTTAGGTCATATTTTCTTACATTTTAGGTTTGTTGCATGCACCTAAGAGTTTGCTCCTGAGAACATGATTTGTCCTTCAGCTTCTGGGAAGTTCTACTGTTTTATCCTCCATGTTAAAAAGCTGTATTATTGCCTAACACCTATCCCGTTGCAGGTGTGTTGGCATCACAACCAGCCAACACCACGGAAGAGCTGGATGAAGTTCTGAGAGACCAAACATTCAGGGTGATGACAGAGAACCGTAAGGCTTTTTCCTGCTTCAAATAATTACTCATACTTCACATATAGGCTTCACAATGAAGTGTCTAACAGCTGTTAAATTGTTACATGCAGTTTTCTTCCTAAAAATAACTGTAGAAATGACTGGAATTATCTAAACACACATTGTATAAATAGGAGCATTTTAACATAATTAGATTTGAAAATGGTTCACAATATTTATTCACTCAAGGTCTAAATAGGGGACACACATCATACGACGTCACCAAATGTTTTACTTCAGATAAATGTTACCAAAGGCCTGTTTATCAGAACCATGGGTAATTTTACTGGACCTCTGCGGCATGCGCTTGTCTCCATTTCACCAGTGCCACATCGTAATTTATGCTGCTCGGTGGTCTCCTACTGAGCGCTGTAAAAAAAAGCACTCCATCATTGAGTGTCACATATTACAGGACGCAGCCGCTGTCCTGGTCCCCTGATTGGGTTAAATTGTGGTGAACTTTGGCATAATGAAACTTCTTAAAATTATTAATGTCTGTGGATGCCTATTGGTGCTTATCAGTGACCAAATTTGCTGCTGAAGCAGTCGCCATTTGCTGACGTTCTATCAAAGGCCTGATAGGGCTGATTTGGTATTGAGACACAACAGCTAGAAGGACGAGTCTTTGTATTTTACGCCACTTTCCTCCTTCCCAAAAATTTCTTTGAACTCCTATAATGGAAGTGTGGCCCAATTTGCTGATAGCTGTTACAGTTCGGACTAAAATAGGTTTTTATTCACCAGTGAGATGAAGAAAGACAATGAGAGAACCACTTTGTTTACATGCCTTCTGAACGAAGTGTGAATACTAGAGACAACTGAGTCTTTGTCCACAGGTACAGCAAAACCAAAGAATGCAACATCCCTTTCGTACACAGAAGAAATAGAACTCCAGGATGAACTGAACAAAACATCCACGTTTTTAACAGAGGATGATGGTGAGTAAGAAAACGTTACTGAATATGAGACTAAATCCCTGACTCAACCTGAAGGAAAAGCTTCCCTGTTACCAATACAGGACTGAATGTCCGTTTGATGATTATGGTTATGTCCTCTTAAAACTTTTACTATTCAGACCAAACCAACACACTTTGATCACAATGGTATGCTAGCAGGAAATGACAGCAGCTAACTCTGCATCAAACGCTGGAGAAGGTGAACTTGCTTTAAAATCTTACAATAAAATGTCTCAATATTCTGTCTTCTTACCCAGTCTGTACTGTAAACCAGAGGTCCTCAACCCCCGGGCCACGGACCGGTACCGGTCCTTGGGTCATTTGATACCGGGTCGCACAGTGTTTTCGCACGGAAAAAAAAATTACACAGTGAATTTTATTTTGAAAAACGACCGGATTCACTTCATTACACCCACCTCCCTCTCACTCTTGACGCATGCGTAGAAGCTTGCCCGGGTCACGTTGTACGGTACCGCTCAAAATACAACACACCCTTATGCTAGCAAAATGAGTAAAAAACAAGCATATAAACCAAGGCCATTAGGGAGAGTGGAAATGCAATGTTGGTTAAGACTTAACTTAACTGGTTAAAACTTAACCAACATAACCGTTAAGTAGATGGTAGTGTGTGTTCATGCTGATGAGGTTACGAGTGCACATTCGATTCACATTTATTGTTACATTTAAAAAATACCACAGTGTTTAAGCTGGTCATATGATATTAATTTGTATTTATCTGCTACATGTTAAAGACCGGTCTGTGAAAATATTGCCTGATGCGAAACCGGTCCCTGGTGCAAAAAAGGTTGGGGACTACTGCTGTAAACAGTGTCAGACAGAAAGTTTGACCATTTCCAGAAAGGCTTTTCTCATTCCTGAGTGTAGGCATAATAAAGCAGTGTTTGTTTCAGTTGATCTGATCTAAACTTAAAGTCAAGTTTAAGTCCCACAGTCATCATCACACTGGTGAAATTCATCTCCACATTTGACCCATCCCTGTGGGGGGCGGTGAGCTGCAGCTGTGGCTGCGCTCGGGAACGCCCCATCCAACTCCTTAAAGCTGAGTGTCACCCAGGGAGGCATTGGGTCCCATTTGTAAAGTCTTTGGTATGAGCCGACCAGTTTTGAACTCCAAACTCCCATGGTGGACACTCTACCACTAGAGTTGGTACACGTGATCATCTAAAACAGAACTGATCTAATCTCCTAAAGCCGGGCGTACACTGTGTGACTTTTTAACTTTTTGAGCCGATTTTCCACTCGTGCGAGAATCTACAAGATCGGGGCGAGTTTTGCGCTGAGCGTCGTGTAGTGTACAGGGGGTTACGAGAGGCGATTAACACCACGTGACCAGCTACCGATCAGCAATCGTGAGCTCGCACGGACTTCTGGCGTGTTTGATGTTTTGCTCGTCCCTCGTGAGGGTATCGCACTGTTGAAGTGGCGCTGCGAGCGGCTGCCACCCAATAAGTATCAGAACCGCTCTCGGCGCATGCGCAATCATGCATCAACACCGCTCGCCCGCTATTTCCCTAATAACACACATTGTTCATTTTTATTTCTAGACGTTTCTTTTACACACAGTGACAAGGATTGTCAAGAAGGCATGTTTGTCGTGTTCATGTCAAATTAAACTGATCACAAAACACAGATTTACTTTCTTAATTTTGTTTTCCTCATCCAACCTCCTAAACCCCCGTGTGTCGTCCTGCAGCACTCCCGAAGGACAACAGGCAAGACAAAAAAGTCTGCTGTGATGTGTAAAAACTGCTGTTTTTAGCATATTTTTAGGTCCGACGTGTTGCTACCAGACGTGCAGTGTGAGCAGTCGGGTCGCATCCGAGAAATGGGTCATACAGTGTGAGCGCATGACTCGTGAGATCTGCCCTGCGAGGAAGTCGTACAGTTTGAGCTGAAGCTGAGTCGCTCAGTGTCCGCCCAGCTTTATGTGACAATTCTAAGCAGATAAATGTGAAACACTCGTACCAAACTTTTCAACAGGTAAGTCCTAGTGTTGGAAACTGACTCTCGGAAAAACCAATAAGTCTGATAATGGTACATTATAATTAATAATGGAACATTGTAAAGTGTGTTTCATTGTATGATTAGGTAGCTGTCGACCTTTATTGTAGCGCTTAGCAAAACAAAGCTAAACAAAACGTGCCACTACTTGGGGTGTGGCTATCTGCTGTGACTAACAGATTGTTTTCCAAAAGCCTGAATAGGACATATTCTGAGTGGGAAGGTGAGAGAGCTGCTAAGCAGCGTGGCATTGCCTAAAGCAGTATGGTCTAATCCTACACCCACCAGAGGTGCTCCCAGTCGTAAGTCAGGAGGAACTCATTAAACCTCAACACGATACTCCTGCCATCAGTCCAGTAATTAGACTGAAAGAGGGAAACACTGGGTTATTACAGGAACTTTATCTACTTTATCTACTTATGGGTTTTCTACCACAGTAACAGTGATTTTTATGCTGCAACTCAACTGAGAGCTGAGCAACACCCCATTTAAGATGGTACCGGTTCCATGGTATCAAAGTACTTTTGCGCACAACCATGGTATGGGACAAATATAGTATCAGTGGCATATGGTATCAGTATTAGGGCATACCTGAATCATCTTCTGTATACCAGAAATATTTGTCATTATCCAACAGAGTCTTTTCAAGACCAAGACACCAACGTCCCAGAGAAAGGCTGTGATCTGGACCTGCTGATAAAGTACAGTTACAGCTACTGTGGTAAAAACTTTCAAGAAGAAATGCAAAAGATCAACGCAGAAGACTGGTGTGTCCTGGAAAACGTTATCAGGTAAGTTTACGCAATGAATCATGTCTCCTTCTCTGCCTATCGACTGAACTTATCCATTTTACAAACACACACTACACAACTTTATCAAATCCCAAGAAACTAACTGAGCTCATCAGTTTCACTAAAACTTATTTTATTCAAGTGCTAAGTTCAAAATTCACTAAAATATTACAAAATATTCCACATCTCAGTTTTGCATGGGCAACACAATAAAAACATTTCAACTTAAAGGTGCGTTATGGAGAAATGACGTAAAATAACACTCTGTGATAAAATGTGGTTACTTCAACCACTTTAAACAACTCTGGAGCTGTTTGACGTCTGTCGTGAAATTACAGTTGTCAGTGCAGTATTAGCTCACAGGAGACATGGCAACCCCACACTCGCTGATGGTGAACAGTAGTTACGTCCAGGGGGGCTGTCAGAGATTTTAGGCCCCATAAAAATATATCACGTTGGGCCCCCTGGCGGCTTGTCCATAGGGGGTGCTGGGGCTCCGCCCTCCCAGATGTGAAGGGAGAAAAATTTTGAAATAAAAAATATAATATATACTTTCTATTAGTGTTTCAGTTTTGCTTAATTATGTATGTCTACATGCATTCTTACTTATTTACACAACATTTTCACCAGCTGTCTCTCATTAAACAGTGAATTTCCTTCAACAGAATAACAATATCACTCATCATCTGAGCTATCCCTCTCCCTTCTTCCTTTACTTCCACTCTTTGTCCTGACCAAACCTGACATTAGGAGGGTTCTGGCTCTGTACAAAACGCAATAGATATATGTTACAATACAGGCTACCATTTGTGATAAAATAGTCGTCAGAGTTACAACAGTCTTCAACATTAATGCAGAACAGGGAAAATGCAGTACAGACTCTTGCAGGATATTAGCTGTAGTTCTCCATCTCCTTTTTAGCTTTTGAGCCTTTTTCTAATCCTTTTTAAACAACTCAACACAACTCACTGCGCCACTCGGCCAGGACGTTGACTGTACCATTTTATGCCGATACAAAGGGGGTTCAAATGAATTTGTCAAAATTTGTCTGAATAAATACACATTTCATTAGGATAAAAATATTGTTTGTTTAATGACTTACATTACAAAAAATACTGCAAAGTAACGTACTTGTGATTTTTAAACTTTTTTTTTTAAATTCAAGTTTGAAACTTTTTTGGGCCCCATGACAGCCATGAGCCCTTAAACCTGGTTTATGCTTCTCCGTCAGCTCTGCAAGGGACAGACACGCACGGATTGACGGAAGCGTTTTGCTCTCATACTTCTCCGTCTCCTGGAGAGTGTTGCAAAGCAATTCCCCGGCAGGACCACAGAGGGCGTAGCGCTGTTCTGTGGTATCCTGTCATGTATCGGTCCACGATCGTGTGTTTATGTTGTGTTTTTTGTGTATATAAGAGACTTTTAACACGGACATATTTGTCTCTCATTCTCCCACCGCTTCATGCGCTCCCCACCTCTAAACCCACGTTTCCTGTCATTTCCGTCCACAAATAAAATGCTTGCTGCACATCTTTTCACTCCTCCAGTCACGGGAGAATTAAACGTTCATATTTTTAGTTTTTTCGCGAGATATTCTTCAAACTTCCCCGTGTCTGCCGCTAGTTATCCTCGGCTCTCTTTGCAATGGCGGCGCTGTAAACAACAGCGGCATCCTGACCAATCACAAGCTTGCGTAATCCGTCTCGTTCGACGGATGTTTAAAAAAGTGGGCTCAACTCCGTACGTACTTGCGTGCCCTACGCAAGGACGGATAATGGCGTTGCGTGTCTCCGCACTGACGCAGACGGAGAAGCATAAATCAGGCTTTAGAATCATCCTAACCTTTCCCCCTTTTACGGCGTACCTGGTTACGTCCCTCCTTCCTTTGTTTAGAAAGGAAAAAAACTGACAATTCCCACCGCCAGCTGGATATGAAATATGTTTCAGTATAACCTTCCTTCCAAAATGACAGAAACATTAGACTCTTTTGGGATTTTCTCATTATATTCTCACATACTGCACCTTTAAGTTTCCCAGTTACCGTATTTTCCGGACTATAAGCCGCTACTTTTTTCCCACACTTTGAACCATGTGGCTTATAATGAGATGCGGCTTTAGTCAACCAGAAAGGATGGATGCTGGAAAGTCTAATAAAGGAATGGTTAAAGGAGTGCTACGGAAAGCACCCAGGAGGATTTTTTTATGTTTATGTTTATTTGGCAGACGCTTTTATCCAAAGCGACTTACAATTTATAACCTATAGGGCATGTTGTGACCTGTGGGGTAAACCGATGTACCCGGAGGAAACCCATGCATGCATAGGGAGAACACGCAACTCCACGTAGAAAGGCTGCAGCCGAGTTTCGAACCAGCAACCTTCGTGCTGCGAGGCAACAGTGCTAACAACTGCGCCACCATGCAGCCAATTGCTGACCTGATCATTTCAGTCTCTCATCTGTTTTCCATTTCTCATTCGCACAGTAAAAAAAATTTGACCCATTAAATAAGCCTTCAAATATTCCCAGATAGTGGTAAAACGGGTTGGGTTGACCTCAATAAAGAATTTAATTTCTGTAGTCATAAATTTGGCAAAACGTTCATCCTAAAGGAGCAAAGAATTAACACTAGAACTCCCAGAGAGTCTCCAATTGGCTCCATCCCCATCTACCAGAGAGCTGCCATTTGGCACCATTGTTTTCACCTAGCAATCTTAATCATTTGTGAACGTTCCCCTTTGTTCTGTAAATCACTTCAGGAGATGCTGGTGCTCCCCTCACCTCCCCCTCTTGCCTGTTTTTTTTCTAGCAGTCAGGTAAAGAGGCAGCAAGAGAAAAACCAGAGACACAAGACTGCTCAACAAGTGTCTTCTGTCAGAGGCCACATGCAGGATACATGATGACAGAGCACACAGGCATCTGTAAAACGTGATTTTTTTAATTACTATGTTTGTAGCATTTATAGCTTATGTTGCATTCACAACGTGTGTGCTTATCTGAAGTCTTCACAAAGTCAGTCATAAATTATTTTGGGTGGGCAATTTCAGTTGACCAGATTCAACAGAAGCCCTTTTTACAAAAGTGCCACAAAATGCTCAGGCAATCCAAGAAAGCATTATGGTTTTATGAGAACAATAAACCTTCAAATGCACAAGCCTTTTGTCAATGTTTTGTATTGCAACTCAAGCAATTTGGGGGGAATAATGCAGGTTAACTTCAATGCAGGCTTCGATTCCATTTTTTGGTTCTTTTTTAAAACACAAGAAAGGTTTCTGTTTACCTTGCTAACAGTTTTGTTTGCGTCTGCAAACTTCCTCAGAGCTGACGCTGATGGTGGCGTCACTTCCTACTCCGTTTTTCTGCGGGCAGCAGAGGACGTTGTGGCCCTCTGCTGCCCGCTCTCCCCTCTCCGATGATGCAGTCCCATGCACGATCCAATGATCATAGTGTCACGAATTAGGAGCAGGAGGTTAGGACCCAAGATGCAGAACCCAGGATGACACGAGGCAGGAGTTGAAATAAAGAAAATCCTTTTATTGTAGGATGTGTCCAAAATAAAGAATACTGTAAATCCAAGAACAGGGAGGGAGCCAAAATCCAAGAATCCAGGGAGTCAAAAAACACCAGAGGAACGAGCAGACTGACAGGACTAATAACGCTGACAAACAACAATGGACCGACAAGAACACAGAGACAGACAGGGCTTAAATACACTGGGAGGAGCAATCAGGGAAACAGGAAGCAGGTGTGTGGGGTGAGCTGCTGGAGGGAAGGCAGGTGACACTAATCAACTCAATGGGGAAAACAGAAACAGAGGATGGCAAATACCTTAACACAAAACTAAACAACAATTTCCTAAAGACAGAGGGAAGGACTAACACAAACTAGCTGGAGGAGGACATGGTACATACACACACACTGAGCTGGGGACAACGAGGCTGGAGCTGACCTGGGAGGAAACAGTAAAAGATAACATCAGACACTAGACTGACACACAAACTGACACACAGAAACTGACACAGAAAAAGGACACAAGAGGGCGCCAAAGGGCTACAACATAAGACACATAACAGGGATGCAGACAAGGACACATGAGGGCGCTAAGAGAGCACAAGGGGAGCTGGGGGAACAAAGGGACACAAGAGGGAATCTAGAGAGGGATGGAGGACACCAGGAGGAACATAAAGGAAGGGGGCTGACGCAGACCATGACACATAGTCCCACATCCCTGTCTCCTTATCTCGATAGCTTCCTTTATCCATCTTCTGTATTTCTGTAGTTCGGTGTTTATGATCCTTGTGTTGTCCCAGTCCATTACATGGTTTTCTCTTGTCCAGTGATCTGTTACGGCTGACTTCTTTATTGTGCTTTCTGCTTCTTGTTTTGCTGCTCTTGTGTGTCTTCGACTCGTTTCTTTCTCACACTCCTTTCTGTGTTCTATTGCTCGTGTGTTGAGTTGGCGTCCGGTTTCTCCTATGTTTGTTTTATTGCAGAGTTTGCATGGGATTTCGTAAACGACTCCACATTTAAGTCCAGCTGATATCTTGTCTTTTGGGTGTACTAGTCTGTTTCTAACTGTTGTGTATGGTTTTGTTGGTGTGTTTATGTTGTGTTTTTTCATTGCTGCTCTTATTTTTTCTGTTATGCCTTTGATGTATGGTAGGTGGTAAAACAACATACAACAACAGAAAGAAAAGAACAACCAAAGAAACCTAGAAAGACAAGAACCAAAACCAGTGATAACCCTACCATACATCAAAGGCTCCGTCTTCCGTCTGACGCTGAATGTGCGGCCCTGTACGTCACATGCAGGGGGGCGCCCAGCGACCTCCCTTTATCCTGTCTTGGTTTGAAAGGCGCCTGATGGCAGTTTATTCTAGCTTCAGCTTTGCTGCTATAAATGCCAAAATCCTCCCCAGGGAGCCGCGGCAAATCCCGTTTTGCAAACGCTATGGTCCTGTGAAAACAGCTGGTGTCAGCCACCGGCCTTCTCGAGGATGCATCCATTTCCTGGGTTTCAATGCAAGCATTCTTGTTCCTTTTAGCATTGGTTGCCCTTCTATTAACCTATCCAGGAACCACAATAAACATCAAAACTAAAATGAAGCATTAGGCAAGGCAAGGCAGCTTTATTTGCACAGCACATCTCATACACAGTCAATTCAATGTCCTTTCCAGAGCAGCAAGAACATTAAAACCAATGTGACAACAGGAAACAGCAGATTTAAAGTCAAAATTCAAATACACAAATAAAATTAGTTGTTAGAATAAAATAAAGATAGAATAAAGACTGAGCAGTTACAGTGCAGAAGGTGCAGCATATGAAACATTCATTCAAAGACTGATGATTACATGAAGGTTTTCAATTTGAATTTTGGGCATATTTGAGGTCATGGGGAAGCTGATTCCATCTGTGTGCAGCATAGTGGCTAGTCGTCGAGTGCTTTACAAATTTCTGGCTAAAAACCAGTTTAAAAAGGACATCTCGTCTCGAGCTCCACCACGCGTTAAACGCAAGCTGCCATCTTGGAAACTAAAGCTGTTTAAAAGTCAAAAAACTGGGAAAGGTTGCTATAAAACAAACAACTGAACTCAAGCTCTTGTTAATATTCTCAGTTTGAGTCTCAAAACCTTAAACCAGAACATATTATTTGTTTATTTCTCATTTATGAAATATGTATCATGACTTTTTCTCTTCTGCTGCTGTAGACCATACAATGACTTGACGTTGTGTTTGGAGGGCGTGACCGGGCTTGTCAACTGTTTTTTTCCAAATCCTGAGATTCAAGATGTCTTCCTCCACATCCACTCCTACTACTTCCACAACTGCACTGAGAAAGAAGAGCTGCTGTTGGATGAAACCCCTACCAGCCTGCTGGTGGCCCTCACCATCATCCCTGTGAGCCTCATCCCCATCCTGGTTTATTTGGTGGGTTGGAAAAGTTAATTATCCCATTCAGAGGAAGCTAGAGCTGCATGTATTCTTTGTAAAATATCTTGTAGTGAAAGTCTTGGTTAGAGTCAAATTGTTAGCTCACCTAATAGCTCAACTAATATTAATCTCAAACTTTTAATATGTATGTTTTTTAAACAAACATCTGAAAACCGCTTCAAATGATGAAATGATCCACCTGACGTTGTCCTAACTCACTGAGCTGCCATTGTCAGAGACCACCTTGGGACAATATTTACAAGGGGCTTCAATAAAATGTTTCAAGATGTTCTAGGATTCCTACTTTCCTCTCAGGAGTCGCAGGTCCTCGTTCTTGATTTGCTGGATGTTCAAAATGTGAATGGCCAATTTTTCTCCAAATATAGAAACAGGGGACATGCGAGACGACTCGACTCTGGGACGAGTCAGAGGCACTATCTGAGTTTGAATCTGACATTTTGAATGCAAGAAAATGGAATGTTATATGAGGACAAATTATGAACAGCTTAAGACACAGTTGATGCACTTTGTAACAAAACTGCCACAAAAATGAACAGCAGTCAATCGAATGCCACCCCTAACTGTCACACTTCATCCATTTACATCATGTGACCTGGCCAGATGTTAAAGTAGCCACTGAAGAGTCACATGACACATGTCACACCAGCTCTGTGACTTCAGCTGTTTTCTTTAGTGTCTTCCAGGGTTAGGGTTAGTGGGCAAACAGCCCACTGAGCTCCTGGGGTTAGTGACCTTTCTGCACCTGTAGATGGAGCTCACACACTTTTACAATATATATATATTTATATATATATATATATATTCAAGGTTTAAAACATCCTTTCCTGTATTTGGTGAGAATGAATCAGTTAATTGGCTGCTCTTTGTCACCGATTCTGTTCATAACTTTTATGGACAGGATTTAGTTGCAGCCAGGGCGTTGAGGGGATCTGTTTTAACAGATGATGTGGTCCTGTTAGCTTCATCAGAACGGGATCTCCAGTTCTTGCTGGAGCAGGTCACAGCCAAGTGTGAAGCAGCTGGGATGAGGATCAGCTCCTCTAAATCTGAGACCGTGGTCTTGAGTTGGAAAGGGGTACATTCAATTAAATCCTGGCAGTGTTGCATTGGCTGTCTGTTGCCATTCGGATTTGTTTTATTGGCTTTTAAAACACCGAATGGACTGACACCGCCTTATCTGACTACGTTACTGCAGCCATACGCCCCATCGCGGGCGCTATGCTCAGACGGCCTCCTGCTGCTCTCGGTCACAAGATCACGTCTGAAGACGTGTGAGGACAGGGTTTTCACGGCAGCAGAATGAGCTTCCCAACTGCATAAGGGCTTCTTCGTCTACTGTGACGTTTTTAAAACAAGGCTGAAAATCTATCTTTATAGCATGGCATTTCCCTCTCTTAGTTAGCCTTAATGTGTTTTCATCCCTGTTTTAGAGTATTTGTTGTGTTTTTATTGATATTTGATCGTTTTTATGATTGTTTTATGCTTTTACTGTCCCTGTAAAGTACCTTGGTGGCATATATCATGTCTGTAAGGTGCAATACAAATAAAATCCAGTTGAGTTGAGTTGAGCATGCCTTCTCCAGGTCAGGAACATTATATTGCCTCATACATGATTTCCGCTTTAGTGAAACATAACTTCGGGTGATGGTTTCTGAGACAAACATCTGAAACGTGTGTTTCTGTATCGCAAAATTACCAAAACAGGCCCAGCATTAAAATATTCATCACTGCTATTGTTGTTTTCATCAGATTTGAGAAAAATAATTCTCTTCTTCAAAAACTGTAAGCAAAATCCCAGTGCAAGATTATAAAGTGTTAGTCTGACGCTGTTACGTAAAGCCTGCGGCTTGTTCACAGCCACACAATGAAAGAAAGAAAGCATTCCTTTTGAAGGAAGTCCCACCCGTTTTCTTTTCATGTCGGATTGTTATTAAAATCTGTGGAGAGTTTATTTAAGTTTAGACTCTGCCGACACAACGGTCAATTCAAATCCACTTGGAAAAACAAACTTGAGATCTATTTTAATGTAAAATGTAGAAAATTCTTTAAAAATCCTGCCATGTGAATTCATGGATTTTTTTTCACATTCTGTCTCTCACAGTTGAAGTGTAAATATGATGTAAATTACTGACCTCTGTCATCATTTCAAGTGGGAGAACTTGCACAATCGGTGGCTGACTGAATACTTTTTTGCCCCACTGTAGAATCTCACATCTTATTGGTCATAAGTAAAGGTAGAATATTAAGCTTAAAAGCAACATATTATACCCTCTTACAACATCAACTGTGCCATAATTCATCCATCTTATTTTAGTCTTTTTAGTTTTCTTTTTATTTTACTTTAGAATAGAATAGAATAGAATAGAATAGAATAGACTTTATTGATCCCACAGTGGGGAAATGTGCTTGTTTCAGCGGTCCCAACACTTAAGAGAATAATTTGAAGAAAAATAATAACAAGGTACATGTATTCCATTTTTGTTCTTTTTAAAACACAGGAAAGGTTTCTCTTTACTTTGCTGACAGTTTTGTTTGCCGACTGCAAAACATCCTCAAAGCTGACGCTGTCAGCAAGGTAAAGAGGAACCTTTCCTGTGTTTTAAAAAGAACCAAGAATGGAATTTGAAGCCAAACACAGAAAAAACATACCAAAGAAGGTACATGTATGTACACATAGGCAGTAGTCTAGAATTGTGACCTTCGACCCCTAAAAACCACAAATAAAAAACAAAAAACTTGTGATTAAAACAAAGAGATTTATGTCAAGCTGATTATTTTGTAACGCTGATCTTGCACTGAACATGTGACTCACAACACTGACCCACAACAATTTTTCAAACATCTTTTTATTCAGAAGTTTTGCTCTCACTGACAGTTTAAGGTCCATACCAAATCAAAACACTGTGTACTAGTGTTCATACACTGTAACACCGTGACACAGTTCAGAATCAGGATATTTTCACTTTTATAAAACTCAGTCATCATCAGCTTCATCATGTTAGTTAAGACGCATCATTTAACGATCAAGGTGGTTCTTACCAGTCATGATCATCTCTGAAGCTGGAGCGTAAAGTGCCTTTGCTTTAGGTTAATAAGCACCATGGTGAAGAGCAGCAGTACATGTTCACTTCCTCAGCCCTGGCTGTGAGTGTAGCAACACGGATGTTCAGCTCAGACAACGCTGATAACACAAAAACAATGGGAGGTCAAATGTGTAATCGAGTTTGTCTGAGCTGCTGAGAGAAATCTGAGTTTGTTTTATATTCATTCGATCTGAAAGGAAAATAAAAACCTGATCAGCTGTTAGCATGGACGTAATTTTTTTTTTTGGGGGGGGGGGGGGGGGGGGGGGGACAGGGGGGACATGTCCCCCCCACTTTTTCCAAAGTCAAGTTTTGACCCCTGCACTTTTTACCATCCAAAAACAATATTACGCTACATTAAATTAACACTGGTTGAGCTCTAGGACCAAGCCGAAAGCAACCATTTGTGTTGAAGCCGGTTTCCCATTAGAACATATTGTAAAGATACCCCCCACCCCCACCCCCGTGTCCCCCCCACTTCTAAAGTGAAAATTACGTCCTTGGCTGTTAGCATGACTCCCTGGTTCTGTGAACAGAGATCCCTGTGCAGATGATCACAAATAATCACTTTAAAAAGCTATTTAGATTCTAAACAAAAATTCTAATGCAACAAAAGGCCTTAGCTGTAAGGTTATGGGTGTTCATAGGCAAAGAGGAATCAAGCTTTGGATACCAAAAACTTGCGGATTTTGGCTTTGGTGCTACATTATGCACTGGCTCTCAAAAAATGGTAAGTCTGTCAGAGTGCTCTGGTATTGGAATCAAATGCAGGTGATAACTCCAGCAGGTAAATTCAGATTTATTTCATGAAATAGAGATAAAAAATGTGAAAACTGACCAAAAGCACAAGAACAAAACCAGGAAATGACACTAGGACGCTTTCCACAGGATACAACTGGGGGATCAGACACACAAGAACAAAGCCAGGGTGATAAAAAATGGAGGTGATTACTAAACGGATACAGGTGAGAGAGACGTGTGTGCATGAGCAGTGACGGCGGAGCTGAGGGAAGGTGAAGAATAAACCTGAACAAGAACAACTAAAAAAACAATAAAAACAACATATGTCTAAAACACATTTAGGATATATCCTGAGTTATTTTCAAAGGCAAATGGAAATCTTATGTTTTAAAGATATTTTGTTTCTGATGAGCGGATGTTTGTCTTCTTAAAACAACATATAACCCAGCCAACAAACAAACGGTTCTAGCTCGGTAAACACACTCTAAACTGCTTCTGTTCAGGCACTAATCTGGTGAGGACTCACTCCTGCTTTGGTTTTCTCCTCCTGCACAACCGAAAACAAACAAACCAAACCGATCCCACGACCGCAGCTTTCAAAATTAGTAAGACTGCCAACAGAAAGCAACAAACATCCACAGAGTAATACGAGTACCAGGGCATCTTATAGGACTCTGTGCGTAAATGAGCAGCTCCTTTGTGCCGCATGACAAACTCAATCCAGTACACCGCAGTGTCCAGAGGACGCAGTGGCTGGTCCCGATGGAGAGCAGACAGACGCCTCATGTTGCTTCTGTAGGAGGGATTGTGAAGAACATCTTGCACTGCTTCCAGAAAGTTCTGCCGAGTGAGTGCTGTGGCGTCCACAGCCCTCGCAGCTCCCCGAGCTTCTAATCTCAAAACATTTTCAAACTGATCGAACAGAAGGGGGATGCCGATGACAGGTACGCCATGGTAAATGGACTCGTAGACACCATTTGTGCCACCGTGGGCAACAAAGGCTTTAACCTTTGGGTGACCCAGCAGGTCGTTCTGTGGCATCCACTTCACTAGAAGGGTGTTGTTGCCCAAATTACCAGGACGCTCACCAGTGTGCCTCCATATGACCTTCTGAGGAAGTTGGGCAAAAGCAGCAGCTATTTCTGAAGTGATTTCTGTGGGTAAGCCCTTAACCAGCGTTCCCAGAGACATCAGAATGAACCCGTGATCTCCTGAACTTTGAACAAACTCCTCCAGCTCCGGGGACAAAGGAATGGAAGGCTTACACTGAAATCCACCAATGTAGGCCACGTTTGGCATGGTCGGCCTGGGGAACTCAAACACAAAGTCCACCCTCATGAGCCAGATGTCTGCCCCTTGGAGAAGGTGGTAGAACTTCACATCTGGACCAAAGTATTTGTCCACAAGTCTATCGTAATGGGGGCAGACGACCAGCTTATCGATGCAGGTGTTTAAGAAATAGAACAACATATTTTTCACTCTCTCTGAAAAACACATCTTGTCAGTTGCTGCAAATCCAGACGTTGGAACGTATGACGTTGGAGATGGAGCCACCACAAAGTGACCTTCTCCACTGGTGATCCATCTCACATTAAACACTGTCGGCAGCTTTAGTTCGTGAGCAACCAGAACTCCAACTGGCAGGCCTGGATCCAGCAGAACCACATCAAAACGACTGTCTCGAATACTCTGCAACAGAGTCCTGTTCTCTAAGATTTCCACTCCCAACCTGCTGGCCTGTTGGTGGATGTTCGACAGCGCGTTCAGCATCTCCCAGTAGAACTTCATGAATCCAATAGGAGACACTCCCTCCTTCTTGATCTCCAGCATCTTCATAAGGAAGTTCACAAAGAACTCCTCCTCCTCAATGACGATGGCTTGTGGCAGAGTGACAGTGATGGAGCGGTAATGAGGTGCGTGCTCTTTCACGTACCAGCTAGTGGCTGTGCGGACCACTGTGACCTCGTGACCTTTGGCATGGAGGTTTTGGATCAGCAGGTTCATGTTGACCCAGTGGCTGCCATCGACTGGGAATACCAGAATTTTTCCAGCGTGGACATCAGGACCAGTCAGAAAGGACACAGTCACCACCAGGAGAAGCAGAGGGGCCTCTGGAAGTCTCCCCATCGATTAGCTGAGGAAAAGGAAAAAGATCGTTAACTCTGGCCCTTTCTGGTGTTTGGCTGAAGTTCTGAAAACACTAAATGGGTCGTTTTGAAACTAATCCAGTTTTTATTTTCTCTTTAAATGCCAGAGGTGCTTTTCTGTGTGACACTAACATGGCCTATGTCATGCTAAATGGTCTGTATTTATATAGCACCTTCTAGTCCTAGAGCACCTAGAACAGTCATTCTGGTGATCATAAGCCACAGCTGACAGAGATGGATCTGCCGTTCACACCAGGCACCGCTGCTTCCCTTCCACCATTCCAGACACAGCTGGACCTGAGTCACTGCTGAGGCAGACTTTATAACGGTAGAACAAACTTGTTCTGAAACATCGCTGTCAGATCAAGTTCATAACAGTTGCCTGGCTAGGCCCCATTGGTAAAGACCTGACTACTGAGGAGAACCTCAACAAGTCTCTCCACCTGACCTGGCTCTAAAGTAAGTCTCTTGTGTCTCTAGTCCAGATGAGGAACCTTGGTCTCTGGTTTTTGTTGCCATTGGAAAGGTTTCTGACCCAAACTTAGATAGGTCTGTCACCATATTTAACACGGCAGACCATACCAGGGGCAGAACTGATTTATTTACAGTAACTGAGTTTAATTACTGGGGCAGCAGTAGCTCAGGTGGTAGAGCGGGTTGCCTCATGATCGCAGGGTCATGGGTTCGATTCCAGCTCCCGCCAGGGGTATCCTGCTGTTGTGTCCTTGGGCAAGACACTTCACCCAACTTGCCTGTGTTAGTGGTGGTCAGAGGGGCCGACGGCGCCAAATGGCAGCCTCACCTCTGTCAGACCTCCCCAGGGCGGCTGTGGCTACAAGTAGCTTACCATCACTAGCAGCGTGTGAATGTGAGAGTGTGTGAAAGCGTCTTTGGGTGTCTAGAAAAGCGCTATTTTAGTGCAATGCATTATTATTATTATAATTATATTTCTCTATATTAATAAAGACAATGAAGCAAAAGTACTATGTTAATAAACTAATGAGAGATTAGTTTTGCTTTGGGATATGACTGCATCCGATCTGAGATTTGAATACCTGATCTCAAACAGACAAATGTTAAAACAATTCCCAGATTTGTCATTTACAAGATTTATTGAGGCATTTTCTTAGAAGCTGTTTGGACTGTCAGTGGTCTTCAGAGTCAGTAATCACATCACCTTCCCTTCAGCATGAGGATTAATGTCAGGATCAAGAAGAAGAGTCAGTTAACATTCTGCAAGTCAAACCTTGTGTCTACTAAAGTGAATTAGAGCACTCACCCTCCAACACACACACACACACACACACATCTGGGAAACATTAGGAAGCATGCTTATTTCTGTGTGTTCAAACTCTTTAGAGGCTGCAGCATTTGGCTTCACAACAAGTACTTTGAATTCAGTCCTCCATGCTGCTTCAGCTTCTCGGGGTTCTCAAGATTTAGCATTCTGGTGGATTTTAAAGGACCACCATATGTCCAAAACACAAGGACAATCAAAACTAAGTAACGTAAATCCTGCTGCTACTGCAGAAATCTGACTGTGTACTAAAACTCTCGTCTCCTGTTTGCACATGAAAATATCCCCTCTGAGTTTTTCTGTTCTACAGTAAGCTGGTGTCGACGAGCTTCAGCTGAAGGCTTGCGGCCTACCTTAAAGTCCGATGAGATGGACAGAATGTTCCTGTGTTCTCTCTGGACACGTGTAGCTCCAACCTGCTGCTGCAGAACTTAAATCCTGATTATTCTGTTGCACAATGAAATGTGGGAGGAGAAAAGGAGGACTGGACTTTAGAGCCTGTGATTAACCCTAACGGCAGTCAGGAACATTATAAAACTTTTCAAAAACTCCCTGCAGAATAAAAACAACAATAACCTCAATAATCTCACTTCCCAGAATCTGACTATTTGATAAACATCTGTTTAACCCATTTGTGCCCACATTTTTTTCAGAGTCGTAATGCATATCATTTTATCAGTTAAGTCCCACTGAATCATGTTATATAATTTTTTTTCAATTATGTACTTTTTTGGGAAGAAAATGCCCCCCCCCCCCCCCCCCCCCCCCCCACACACACACACACACACACACACACACACACACACACACCCATAACCTCACCCATGCATCCCACAAGCAGGACACTGCTCTGTTATTCTGGTGCAACTCACTGCAGCAATACCTCCCCCAATTTGCTGTTCAAGGCCCTGCCCTGGTCATAACAAAGTGATAGCCTAATAGTATTGTCATAAAAATAAGAAAGGACTCAGGTTCCCCTGTATGAAATTCAAAACAAGACACAATTTGAACTGTTTCCTTTATTCACTTTTTTAAAACTCAAAATCACAACAAACATGTTTTTTTAGAACATCTAACACATATTTATGTATATGACATATTTATAGGTGTGTGTACTGGTTATGTAAGCTCTTGTGTGCAAAGGAAAGTGCACCCCCAGCTGCACATCAACATCTTCATTAGCTTTTCAACTAGCTAGCTATCATTAGACTGTGAGACAAGCTAATGTTTGCTAGCAAGAAAATCATGTATGGTAACGTATAAATACACGTATACACACAGGCCTTGAATACCTGTAAAGTTATTTAGCTTGGAAAAGTGCTCTGAGAGGACTAAAATGAGCCATTGTACATCATTCTAATATTTTAAATAAGTAAATTAGGAACAATCCTGCAGAGTTTTACTTTAGTTAGCGACATGCTTTGTGCCCACTGGCAACTATTGTTGCCACTCACAGAAATAAGCCTATTAAGAAAAAAATATTTATCTTTGGTATAATTTTTGGATGGAGGGTTACTCTAGAGACTTGAATGAGTAAATTATTACAAATATATTTTGGGGCAGTTAATCTGAAATGTCTAAAAATTACCTGTTTCCAGGATGATTTGCAGTCGCCATGTCTTCAGCGGGAAGGAGCAGGAAACAGATGATGTCATACGATAGGAAGCACTTGGAAACAAAAAAAATTTAAACAAAACTTTTGTCTAAGTTGTTTACTAGCAAATAAGTGGAAAATGTTGGATTAGTAACACTGTAATTTTTAATTGTGCGTCAAAAATGATAGTGATACACGTTGGCAACAATAGTTGCCAGTGGGGCTAAACGGGTTTATGATTACCAATGTGAACATCATCAGATGCTTTTATTCCAGGAAACGAGTGAACATTATTTATGTCAATTCTTTGTGTTAAGTCAATAAAAAGGTTAGAAATTCATAAATTATTTATGAAAGCATAAAATAAAAATGCATTTTGTCCAGAAAAGGATGTTGCACTTCTAAACAGTTTTCACTGAGCATCACAGGCTGTGTGTGTACAGGTCCTTCTCAAAATATTAGCATACTGTGATAAAGTTCATTATTCTCTGTAATGTACTGATAAGAAGAAGAAGAAGAAGAAGAAGAAGAAGAAAATATCATTTCTATAGCGCCTCTCAAGATAAAAATCACGAGGCACTTCACAAAACAAAAAATGTAAAAATATAAAAAACATTTAGAAAATGTTTAAAAATATATTTAAAATGAGCAAAAATAGGCAATTGTGATTAAAAAAATGTTAAGAAAGAGAGAGAGTGAATAAGAAAGAGGGAAATCAGTGGATCCTGAGGAAGGTGGAATAGGTGGGGAGAGCAGAATAAAGAGAGAGTGGTGAAGAAGGTCACACAAAAGCCAGCTTGAACAAGTGAGTTTTCAGCTGCTTTTTAAAGGAGACCACTGAGTCCACTGATCTCAGGCTCATGGGGAGAGAGTTCCAGAGTCTGGGGGCCACAGCAGCAAATGATCTGTCATCTTTGGTCTTTAGCCTGGTGCTGCACAACCAGTAGGCTTTGATCACTGGACCTCAGGGACCTGCTGGGGGTGTAGGGACTAAAAAGATCACCAATGTAAGATGGTGCTTGTCCATGTAAGGCCCTATAGACCAGAACCAGGATCTTGAAATGAACCCTGAAGTTGACTAGCAGCCAGTGAAGCTGGAGGAGAAGCGGGGTGATGTGGGTGTGTTTGGAGGACTTGGTCAGAAGCCGAGCACAGGCGTTCTGAACCACCTGTAGACTGTTCAGGGAGGTTCTGCTCAGACACGTGAAAAGAGAGTTACAGTAGTCTAAGCATGAGGAGATGAAGGTGTGGATAACACTCAAGTTCAGAGCGGGACAGAATGGAACTCAGCTTAGCAATGTTCCTGAGATGGAAGAAGGAAGAGCGAACAAGAGAACTGACATGAGAATCCAGGGTGAGAGCTGGGTCAAAGGTCACACCAAGATTCCTGACAGAAGGTTTGGTGTGAGAAGTAAGCTGACCAAGAGAGTCTCTGACTTTGGGAACCAGCTTGTCTGGGGCACAGACGAGGATCTCAGTCTTATCTTCATTCAGCTGTAGAAAGCTCCCAGCCATCCAGATTTTAATAGAGTCTAAGCAGGTGTGTAACAGCTGCAGCTTAGACATCTCATGGGGCTTAAAGGAGATGTACTGTTGGATGTCATCTGCATAAAGATGGTTGGAGATTCATTTGAAGGAGCTCAGGATGTGCTGAAGAGGAAGCAGATAGAGGAGGAAGAGCAGAGGCCCCAGCACAGAACCCTGTGGGACACCATGGGTAAGAGATGTGGTGGAGGACCTAAACTTGGAGACCGCCACAGAAAAGGAGCGCTCAGAGAGATAAGAGGAGATCCACTCCAGAGCAGATCCTGATAGGCCTACCCAGTCTCTCAGCCTCTCCAGTAGCAGGTGATGGTCAACAGTGTCAAAGGCTGCAGTCAGGTCCAGCAGGACCAGAACAGAACAGTCCCCTGCATCACTGTGAGTCAGAAGGTCAGTAGAGACCCTAAGAAGAGCTGTTTCAGTAGAATGAGCTCTACGAAAACCTGACTGGAAGCAATCATAGATGTTATGTTCATCAAGAGCAGCTGTGAGCTGTTTAGCCACAACCTTTTCCAAGATCTTGAGAACGGAAGTTTAGAGATGGGTCTGAAGCTGCTATGGAGAGAGGGGTCCAGACTCGGTTTTTAAGAAGCGGGTGGATTACAGCATTTTTAAAATAAGCAGGGACCTGACCAGAAACCAGAAACCAAAATATGTGCTAAAATGCTAATTTTTTTAGATAGAAATTTGGGGTTTACATGAGCTGTATGCCAAAATCATCAATATTAGAAACAATAAAAGGCTTGAACTACTTTGGTTGTGTGTAATGAATCTAATGTGTGTGTGTGTGTGTGTGTGTGTGTGTGTGTGTGTGTGTGTGTGTGTGTGTGTGTTGGCTCCTTCATGTAACACTATTTCTGAGCAGAAACGGCAGCAGGAACTTGTTCACTGACCAAACAGGCTGAGACTCTTTGCTGCTTCTGCTTTTACAGTGAAGTCATGTGTTGGGAAAAAGGAAGAGCACTCAGCTGACTCCTGAATGTCTGTGTGTGTGAAAGCATGTCAAAATGTCTTGTTTGTGGACATCTGTGCTCATCCTGATCTCCGCCGCTGTCTGGTCTCCATGCGTGGCTGATGTTGGTGACTTTGATCCGTGTCTGCACTTTTTCTATAAGTCCTGGCCGCCAAAAGGTTTGGAAGGGACCCCGATCTGCCAGAGATACAACAACACATATCACTTTGCTACTTTGTACAGTCGACCTCGCCGCTCGCCTTGGTTCTCTGGCTACTTGTACACGACACCGAGAGGAAGAAGGCCCAAAGCCAGCTGGAAGTATGAGCCGCAGGTGAGGCTGTTGAATCTTCAGTCAACGATTTACAGTTGAGATGAGATATTAACATCATTTTATGAGTAGAAATTATTTTATTCAGAGCAGAAACAAACCAGTGTGGCGTCACTCATTCCAGACTGAAAACAAACGTTTCTCTTTTGCTTCTGTTGATCCAGTTTACCATCAGTTACAAAACATTTGACACAAAGGTTTTCAATAAATAAGTAAAAAAAAATAAATAAAAATCAGGAAATGAAACCATTAAAAAGGGGAAGTGACCATACCCGCTTTGTGTTTGCATCTGATGAACACTCATGGTCCGAACATATCCAACAAGTTGGTCCAAAGACAGGAAATACACTTTAATCCTCTTATTCCTGTTTAATTAGAGGTGTGGCAGCAGTGACTCAGTGGTACAACGGGTTGTCCAGTGGTCAGAGGGTTGTAGGATCGATTCCAGCTGCCTCCAGGGAGTTCTGCTGTTGTGTCCTTGGGCAAGACACTTAACCCTGTAGCGCCTTTGCTCTGCATCCTGTGTGTGTGTGTGTGTGTGTGTGTGTGTGTGTGTGTGTGTGTGTGTGTGTGTGTGTGTGTGTGTGTGTGTGTGATTCTCTGTAGTGTAAAGCACTTTTGTGTCTTCTGACTCAGAAAAGTGCCACACAGGTTGATCATCTTTTGTCTGAACGGTGTGTTTAAGACACCTTAATGTTCTCCTCGTTGATGAGGAAAAGTCCTCCTGCTGGTAGCTTTAGAAATATCCTTTGTGTTTTTAATGCATCTTTAAAACATCAGTGTGCTGTAACAGTTTTCTTCCCCATCTACAGCTGGCCTACACTGGAGCTGATGGCAACATGATGCCCTTCCTGCCTGGACCTGTGGACCAGAATGTGGTGGAGAGCCAGGCGGTGGAGCTGGACTACATAAACTCCACCTTCACCAGAGGCCACTTGAACCCCAGCCTTCACCATGAGACCCGCAACAGTCGCTCTGCCACCTTTACCCTCACTAATGTGGTCCCCCAGAAGGTAGGTTCTAATGATGGACCCTGGGAATACCTGGAGCAGACTGTCAACAAGACTTTAGCAGCCTACTGTCTTGGAGAGGCCTACATAGTGACTGGGATTATCCCTTACAAAAGTAATGAGCCATGGATCAAGAACCACCGTGTGGCAGTCCCAGAGTACATGTGGTCTGCGTACTGCTGCCCAAACTACAACCACAGTCTTCCTACAGAACTGAAAGATGCTTTTCCTACATTCGCTGCCATCGGACGCAACGACCCAAACAGCAGTGAGGAGATAGTGGCCATCGACCAGAAGGCAGAGAAACAGTTCAGAGGTTATGATGTAAGGCAGATGTCTCTGGAAACACTAGAGACGTGGCTGAAAGACCGCTTCACCACTGTCATCAGTGTGTTCTATGAGCAGTGTGTCCATCAGGGTAATCCATCACATGTCAAATAACAACATGAGTCAGAGGAACCCAGATTAACCCAGACTACCCTAAATTAATCCAGAGTAACCCAGACTGACCTAAAATGACAGAACATCATCACAATCCGACTTACTAACTCACCCCTATTTGGAGTTGATTGTAATCAATGACCCAGTCTGAGACTGAGCTGAACGTAAAGTCTTTTGAGAGTAGGATGACCGTTACCAGCTCAGACCTGAGGTGTCCATAATCTGTAATACAATTAATCAGACTGGAACAGACCTCCCCAGACCACAAGACCAGATCCAAATAAGTAACCAGTCAGAACAGATCGTGATCGGAGCACTTGATAGTAAATCTGATATAAACGTGTTATAAACCTTGTCACAAGCTTGTGGTTTGTCAGGACGCTGCTTCCTGTTTTCATTAGTCAACAGCACCGTCTTTTCTGCTTCAAAAAATAGATATTTAGCGGCAGAAGAATGAATCGTGGAATAAGTCTGAAAATATGAACGTTCATTACAAAATATACGGCAAGCGTTTTATTTGTGGATGAAAATGATGAGAGATGTGGGTTTAGAGGTGCTGATTGTATAAAGAGGTGGAAGGGAATAGGGAACAAATGTGTCTGAGTTAAAGTCTCTAAAATACAAATGAAACTATGTAAACACAATAGTAAATACACTATCATGGACCGGATACATGACTGTATTGGTGCCAGGATACCTCAGAATAGCGCTAGTCCCTCTGTCGTCCTGTTTTACAACAATCCCCAGCTGACGGAGAAGTCAGGAAGTAAAACGTCTCTGTCAAGGCGTGTACGTTTCTCCCTCGCAGAACTGATGGAGAAGTATAAATTAGGCACTACGCAGCAGCACCGACATTTGTAATTTGATGCCAGCCAGCAAAAAAGACTTGTTTAAAGAACTGGAGCCAGTAACAAGAGCGACCAGAAGTTATTTCTTGTCCTGCTAAGAAGGCACGGCAACTTTTCACTCTGTTGGGTAAAGAAGGCTAATGTTGAGCTAACAGTGAATTAGAAGCAAATAGTCAGCTCTAAACATATCTAAAGCAAATTTTTCAATTACCAACAACTCAATATCACAGAAACGTGTGAGTTAACAGAATGAGTTGTTCAGAGCTACAACAGCAAGCTAACAGCAATACAGCAAACAACTGTAACGCCTGAGGAATATTACCATAATAACTGTAGTAAGTGCTCCCTACCGTAAAACACCAGGTGTGACAATGTATTTATCTGCTTATCAACTGATTGTGTTTGATTCGTCTTTGCTTGTCATCTAGAATCTTACAGTGCTCAGTGGCGCAGATAGATTTTTCAAACTGGGGGGACAAAGTTCCAATGTACCCTCCCCCAAACACATACACACACACGCACACACGTACACATACACACACTATTGCAAGAGCCTTAACTAGAGCTCAGTCAGTGTAATTTCATCCAATGGTTTACGGAAAAAAACTAACACTATTATATACGTGTTTGAAGCAGTCTATGGTTTGAAGCCATTGTGCAATGGAACGCTGGCAACAAAGCTCTGCCTGATCAACACTATCCAAATCAGTCACTTGTTATTCTCCCAATCAATTACTAAGCAAAACCTCATGTTTTATGCAAAACTTGTTTTATTTAAACATTAACTGATTTTCAGCATACCAATCTTTACAGAAAACATAAAAGCCCTAAAAAACTTAACATAAAATATATTTCAGAAACGATATTCACGTATCACTTACTCTGATCTTTTTTATTAGGATTTTATTCCAAAATTAATGGACTTTTTTTAATAGCTCCTAGGTAAATCAGTCAAAAAACCCAAAACCATTTCTCAATCATGTTAATAAGCCACACCAAGGAGACACAGCAGTTTCTAACAACTTTCATACAATCTGATCTTTTTTATTAGGATTTTTTTTTTCAAAATTACAGGATTTTTTGTTCAATAGCTCCTCGGTAAATTAGTCAAAATACTGTAGCGTCACAAAGGTTCTCTAATTTGTGACAAAGGTCACATTTTTCCAGCTGGGTCGACTGTAACTTTGCCCTACAGATTAAACAAGCGAGGAGCCATGATGTCTGCTGAATACCATCCATATCTGCTGCTGTTCCGTCCCAGATTGAAGGACACTTCAAGATCACAATAATAATTCAAATAATAATTTTAATAAACTCTTTGACTTTATTACGCTTTATTATAATCATCATAATTAATCCCTTGGTTCAGTAAATGTATTTTAATTGCTGAAATGACTTATTATGCTTTGGGTATAATTATGATTATTGTTGATGATCAGTTATGTGTTCAGCAAACCAGAAGGTCATCTCGCACGTAACCAGCCTCACACAGAGGGTACCTCAGCGTAAAAGTAATCTGCCATCACATGTCTTTGACTCATGACCAAAGCTTTCTTACTCTGAGAGTGGGCGTGTTCTGAGGGGTTTGTTAAAACTAAACTTTCCAGCAGCAAAACTTGAGTTCGTGAACCAACCACCATCACAGGAGACGAGGGAACGGCCGCCCGAATCTCCACCTGCTGTTCTGTCACGCTGATAGAATAGCTTTGGATAAACGCACGATAACCAGCTGACGCAAAACTCCTTCAGAGTTATTGATTTTGAGAAGCAAATAGTTTCATCAGTCGTGTGACCCACGGAGACATCCCAGGACTGATTTGGTCGCATTGAAGTCCTTCTACCAGCCTCGTGCCCGGAGGAAATCATCTCCACCTGACATCTCGGATCCAAAAGGGGGTCTCCTGAAACTGGGTGAGGCAGACACTTTCGACAGATGACGTCTGATGCTGTTTCTCTAAGTAACAACAGTTAGCTACAAAAACATCATTTCACCCAGAACGAGCTTCTCGCTCTGAAAGAAACCTTCTGAGAACATTCACGCATCCAAACTTGCATTTTCAATTTAGCTTTCATTCAGTCACAGGTTTGCCTTTAAACCAAGTTTAATATCAAAGCTGGTAAACTGTCATCCATGAATTGTCATTATTAAATTGTCATTTCTGAATTGTCGTTCCAAATTGTCAAGTTTAAAATTGTTAGTAATAAATTCTTAACTTTAAAAACTTGACTCTCTTCTTGAACTTAAACACAGAATGGTGTGTATTTCTGGTCATTGAAAAAGCAAAGATTTCTAAATTCTGTTTTAAATAAATAAACTTTTGATATAAAATTTAATTATCTGAAATTAAACATTAATCTTTGGATTAAATATAGACCAAACAGGTTGGTGTATGAACTTCTATCGATTATATAAGTATCTTGGATATTTATACATGATATAGGCTCATATGCTAATGTGCTTGGTCATTCTCAGAATCTAACAACTGATAGCAAACAGTGTTGATTCTAGTATGTAGAATACGCTACAATACCCTAAACTATTTCTCAATGTTGTTACTAAGCTAGATCAATGAGACACAGCAGTTTTTAACACCTTTCATATGATATGATCTTTTTTATTAGGATTTTTATCAAAGATTACCGTAAATCCTCTAATACAGGCCTGGGCCTGTAATTTACTCAAGCTCATCAAGCTCCAGGCCTTTATTGGAAGGAGGGCCAGAATTAGAGGCAGGCCTCAATTTCTATTTGAGCAAAATGAACTAATGGTTCGCTGGAGTTTTTGACAATTAAAATTGCGCCCACATTTTCAAAGTTAAACACATTTCTTTTAACAACGGTAGTTTCTGCTTCAGCCCTCTAACCCCCTCCTCCTGCGCAGCGGCCGCAAACTCACTGATGCGCCTGCAGCCTCTCAGAGTTCCTGCTGCTCTAAACATTAAAATATTTATTTCATTTTCTGCCCCCTCCTGTCCCCCACCCTGATCTGCGCGCCTGATAGTGCTGATTTGTAACGGCAACAGCCATGAAACCCATTGAACGGTAGTGAGACAGTGAGTTTTTGTTTATATAAAGGAACTGCAGTACCCAGATTTGACCACAGGATATCAGTCTTACTTCATTATTAGATGTTAATTGCACCTTCTTTGTTCATTGTTTATTTTTAAATGTTAGCAGTAGAAATTTCACCTGACTAGCTGAATTTTATCTGATAAAATGTAAAAAAAAACAAAAAAAACCATCATGTTTCCCTTTTTTCTTTGCAGATTAAAACAAAAAACATGTGGTGATTTATAAAACCACCAGGTGGTGTTTCAGTTCAACAATTGTTAGCTCTTATCTCTGTTCCCTCTGACTTACTTATAAATGTGAAAACTGGATTGTGCTGTATTTATGTTGCAATGAAAATATATTCATGAGTTTAAAATCTGTATTGTTGAAGGGAACAGTGAAGACGCTGCAAACCAAAGCAACTTACTGCAGTGACGACAAAAATAGGAGATTTGGTGAAGTGTGTGGATGTTTTCAACATTACATGTGGCCAGACAGGTTTCTGTTGGGTTGGCCATACTGAACTCAACTAAAATGTCTGACGTGTCCAGAGATTTTTAACAATGGCTGATGGGTTTAAACAGCTGCTCTAGAAATAAATGTGTTTCAGTTTTCAGTCTTTTATAAAAACCCGCAGGAGTCTGCTGGATTAGCCTTTAACTCCTGATCTTGTCTGTTGTCAAAAAGCTTCAGAGCATTTTATTTAGTTTGTTTTCTAGAATGAAATTTGAGTTTAACGTACAGTTTTATTTTGTTATTAACAGACTGAAGTTTCGTCATCTTAAAACAGAATTTTTGCAGAGATTAATCATTTCCAGAATAGGTCTAAATGCTGTTGATGCCATTTAGACGTAATTCATGAAATCATTTTCACCACTGATTTTATTTTGTTTTATCTTTAAAGGAAAATCCCAAAAACAAATTGCAATGATGACTCATGTACTGTAGATAACCTTGTGAAACTCGACTGTGTTGTTTTATTTAACAGGGACCACTGGGAGTCATGTTTAGAATAATTATGGCTTTAATTCCTAAACAGGAGCCACAGTAATACAGGGCTACAGAGAACATCCAGCATGACTCTCTAACACAAAGCTCAGTGGGGCTGTGGACTCATTTAGATGAAGAGCTTGTCCCAGATCTCCACCTTCATGATGCACTTGCCCATGGGGGACATGGTGGCTTTGATGTCCAAATGTTGGCCCTGGAAGGTGAGCCCACAGCCGTTGGACTCCTGCCGTACGAAGTCCTTTGGCTCCTTGTTGTAATACATTTCTTTGTACAGAGCCTCGTTGCACTCCTTTCCCTGTTTGTAGATCCCCAACGCCATCCAGTTCTTGTACACGTTGTAGTCGAACGGCACAGAGAACATGATGGCCAGCGTCTCCCTAACACTGTTGCTTTTGCACTCAAACAGGTCATAGGTCAGGACACCCACTGATCCAGTGGCTTTGGCGGCACTTTTCCCAAAGATGCACACCTCAGTCTTCTGCAGACGGACGGTGGGCGTGGGAGGGCTGTGGACGCTGCCGCTATCCAGGAAAACCCTTTATTAAGAAAAAGTAAAACAAAAATCAACTCTTTTTTTCTACTGATGATCAAAGGTAGACATGTACAGGTGTATCACCTACTTAGGATTTAGAAGGCAGTAATGATTAGTGAGGTTGGTGACCTCAATGGTGACATTTCTCCTGCTTTTGAGGCTGGCAGCCACAGCTTCTGCTGATTCACTCATGGTGCTGGTTCTAAAGCTTTATCTGCACATGAAACACACAAATGTTTCTGAAGCCCACCTGTTGCACGGCTAAATACTCCTCAGTAAAACTCAAGAGAAGACCTGCTTACCTGGTCGCAGGTGTGTCGCTCACTCCTGCAGGTTGGAAACACTGACTCCAGCCTTCAGGTGAGTCCTGTTGGGAATGCTGTCTCCGCCCACAGCTCACACCCTCCACCTGTTTCTCTAGTTCAGAGGTCGGCAACCTGCGGCTCTGGAGCCGCATGCGGCTCTTCCATCCATCTGATGCGGCTCTCTGTGCTTGTAAAATAAAGAATGGATCTTTAAATAAAATGCTTTACATTTTACTGCATTAATTTTACATCTGTATGCCAATTCTAAATGTAAAGATTGTCTGCGTAAACCTGAACAGGTCCAACCCGGTCTTACTGTGAGACCGGGTTGACGGGTCTTCTTCTTTGAACATAGCGGGAAAACAGGTAAACAAAACTGCTCCGTGTTTTAAAAAAGAACAACAGCGTGGAATTTGGTTGACGGGTCACGCTTGTGTGTAATCATTGAGGAGCTTTCTGAGCTGAAGAGGATGTGAGATTCTGGACTTTTCCTCAGACCGGCTCCTGGATGCGTCGCCACATTGGAGACAGCAACAAGCGCTATTCAGCCAAAGTTTCATAATCAGGGAACATTTTCTAAGTGACAAGTCTCTCTGAGAGACAGGGTTTGGAAAACACCCGCTTCAGTGGGAGGAATCTTCCCGCATGCGTTCTGGTTCTGCGAGGCGCTCCAAGCCCCTCTCCACATCTTCAGCTCGCTGCGCACCTTACGTATGTGCTGACAGCGAGCTGTGCTGAGCAGTGTCAGATGTACAAAATGGGAATCTTTTCTTGAGTGATTTAGCTACATCTGCGATGTGCTTAACAAATAAAATGTCAGTTCGTCTGCATGTGTCGGGGTCTGCATGTTTTTCAAAATAGAAGCCCATCTCAGAAATGTATTTTCTAACTGCTTATATGAAAAAAAAAACTTAAAAAATGGAATTCAAAAGTTACCAAATTATATTTACATTGCCATTTTAACCACTGTTTTTCTAAATAAAAATCCATATCAGGAACTGAATTTCTAACTGATTGTTTAAAAAAAACTTATAAAATGGAATTCAAAAGTGACAAAATTATAGTTATTTTGCCATTTTAACCAGTTATTCAAAATAAAAGACCATCTCAGAAATGCATTTTCTGACTGATTATTTTTTAAGCTTTAAAAATAGAATTCAAATGTTACCAAATTAAAGTTATATCACAAATTTGTTCAGATTTTCAAAATAAAAGCCTTTATCAGAAACATATTTTCTGACTGATTATTTGAAAAAAAAACTTAAAAAATGGAATTCAAAAGTTACCAAATTATATTTATATCACCATTTTAACCACTGTTTTTCAAAATAAAAGCCCATCTAAGAAACTTATTTTCTGACTTATTGTTTAAAAAAACTTAAAAAATGGAATTCAAAAGTGACAAAATTATAGTTATTTTACCTATTAAACCAGTTTTTCAAAATAGAAGCCCATATCAGAAACCTATTTTCTGACTGATTATATGAAAAAAACTTTTTAAATGGCATTCAATTGTTACCAAATTGTAGTTATATCACCATTTTAACCACTGTTTTTCAATATAAAAGCCCATAGTAGAAACCTGTTTTCTGACTGATTTTTTGAAAAAAAAAAAAAAAACTTTAAAAATGGAATTCAAAGTTACGAAATTATAGTTATATTGCCATTTTAACCACCATAAGTTTCACCACGGGAAGTGTCATCAAAATCTGATGTGAAATTTAAAAAAAATACTTCTTTGAAAAATGGTATAAATCATTCATTCATCTACTTTGAATAATTTTTTAATCCCCCTGTTACGCTAGCATCTGGTGTGGACAGATGAGCAATAGAACACCTCTAGTTCTTATAAAAAAGTTTCATCCAAATCTAACGTGGAATTTCAAATTAATACCTCTTTGAAAATGGTATTAAACTATTCATTCCTCTACGTTAAATATTTTTTGAAAAAAAAACTTCCCTGTTATGCCATCATCTGGTGTGGATAGATAAGTACCAGAACACCTCCACCTTCATAGAAAAATAGTTTAATCCAATCCTGTTGTGGAATTTCAAAATAAAACCTCTTTCAAAATGGTTAAAAATCGTTCATTCCTCTACATTGAAAAATGTTTTAAAAAACCTTCCCTGTAATGCCAGCATGTATTATAGACAGCTGTGTACTAGAACACCTCAAGTTTATAAAAACAAAGTTTCATCCAAATCTGATGTGGAATTTCAAAATAAAACCTCTTTGAAAATGGTTATAAATCATTCATACCTCTACTTTAAAAAAAATTTTTTTAAAAACTTCCCTGTTATGCCAGTATCTAGTGTAGACAGATGAGTACTAGACCACCTCCCCTTAGAAAAAAAGTTTCATCCAAATCTGATGTGGAATTTCAAAATTAAAGCTCTTTGAATATGGTTATAAATTGTTCATTCCTGTACATTTAAATAATGTTTAAAAAAACGTCCCTGTTATGCCAACATCTGGTGTGGATGGATGAGTACTAGACCACCTCTACTTCATAGAAAAAAAGTTTTGTCCAAATCTGATGTGGAATTTCAAAATTAAAGCTCTTTGAATATGGTTACATATATTTTGAAAAAATGTTTAAAAAAACGTCCCTGTTATGCCAGCACCTGGTGTGGATGGATGGGTACTAGAACACCTCTAGTTTATATAAACAAAGTTTCATTCAAATCTGATGTGGACATTTAAAAGTAAAGCTCTTGGAAATTCATTCAAAGCCATTAATTCCTTTTAGTAAAATAACGTTCAATAGTGACCCATCCAAGATGGCGTCCCACGGTCACACCAGCCCCAGTAGAAAGCTCCGGTCCATGGAGCTTCAAATAATCAGTCAGAAAATAGGTGTCTGATATGGGCTTCTATTTAGAAAAATGGAATAAATCTGCGATATGACTATAGCTGGGTAACATTTGAATTCCATTTTTAAAGTAAAAAAAATCAGTCAGAAAATACGTTTCTGAGATGGTCTTTTATTTTGAAAAACTGGTTAAACTGGCAAAATAACTATAATTTTGTCACTTTTGAATTCCATTTTATAAGTTTTTTTTAAACAATCGGTCAAACATTAAGTTTCTGATATGGGCTTTTGTTTTGAAAAACAGTGGTTAAAATGGCAATATAAATACAATTTGATTACTTTTGAATTCCATTTTTGAAGTTTTTTTCATATAAGTAGTCAGAAAATACATTTCTGAGATGGGCTTCTATTTTGAAAAACAGTGGCCCAAGCTTTTACCGTAACGCTGTGAACGCGTGCGCCTAGCAAAATCAAGTGAGGGCTCACTTCATCGTGAATCGGCGAGTGGAGGCTGGCTTTACCTCAGTCAAAAAACTACGGTCAAATACGGGAACTATCCGGTCAACACAAGCCCTGCGTTTAACTGTTTTGTTTTCTTGTGAAAATTGTTGCAAAGAGACAAAAATAAACTTGATTAACACCAAAGCCAGGCGCACTGCGCCGTTATCTCCGTCACTGTAAATGAGGGAAAACCAAATTGATCGGATCCTTTTCTTACCTTTCCCACCTTCAAAGTTTAATTACAACAATCAAAAGAGACAGAGCCTGGATTTGTATTCTGAGCAGTTTAAACATGTTTTAAAAAGAAGCATGTGACAAAAGTGGCACCTGCTCAGTAAAACCAACAGGGTGAAAAATATCAAAATATTGAAGGCAGAGACGGGCGACAACTTCTGGATTCATTTTATACAAAATGATTTATTGATTATCTTCTGTTGAAAGATAACTTTGACGTACACGAGCGACCGGTATTGGCTGCTGTCACCTGTTGTGATTGGTTAAAGCAGCTCTCTGCTGTGGCTCCCAGTGTTTATTTACTGTGGGAAACGGGAAATAATGGATTTTTGATGGGAACAGGTTGCCGACCTCTGGTCTAGTTCATCTTCAGTCATGAATGAAGACACGATCGATAGGTGCCGCCTTCTTCTGATGACCTTTTCCTTGGAGCCAGATTATTGACTGTCTGATGATGCTCCACACCTTTCCTTTTGTTCCCATTTTTGCTTTTCTGCTCCTGCTGTTTCACCAGTTTTTTATTAATTTTTGATTGTTTTCCCTTGTTTCAATCCTAATTTTAAGAAAAAGGCAAATGTGTGGATTCAGTTGTTTTGATTTTATTCGTTTAAAGCATCCATAATGACACAAACCTGCATCCAGGATCATCAGCATCAACACTGACTCACTCATCTGAGTCACTCTGTTCAATTTCACATCAACCCATTTTATCATACAGCTCCACTTTAACGATGGCTTTGCCCACATCACACATGCAGGCCCTCACATCCAGACCCCTCCCCCTAAACAACAACCCAGAGCCGGTGGCTTCCTGCCGCACAAAGCTGGTGAAATCTTTGTCATTATACATCGAATGAAACAGCTTTTTATCGCAGGCATGCGTGTGCTGGAAGATCCCCACGCCCAGCCAGTTCTTGTAGATGTTGTAGTCGAACGGCACGGAGAACATGATGGCCATCAGCTCACTGCAGCGCCGCTCTCGCATGTGGAACAGCTCGTAGGTCAACACCCCCACAGTTCCCGTGGCCGTGTTGTCGTCCTTGATGAAGGAGCACAACTCAGTCTTGGTGGTGCGAATGGTGGGTTGGGGGGGATTGAATGGGAACCCGCTCTCCATGTGAACCCTGGAAGGAACATGAGAGGTCCAACATGAATGTGTAGGGTCAAGCTAGAATCATGTGGCTCTGGCTGAGTGGCTCACTGGTCCAGTTTAATGTGATGTACTAAACTACAGCAAAACTAAACAGAAAAAGATAATTTTGTCTTGGTACATGGGAATTTAGCGGGATGAACTTTCAAAACTGCATTTCTCTCAGTTTAGCAGTGACTACAGGAAGACACATAAAACATGAGGGTACAGTGATGATTCTGGTTGATCAAGATGAAAACTCCTGGCTGCTGATCCTCATTCTTACTTTGGGTTGACAAGACAGTAGACAGTGCTGAGGTTGGTGATCTCTATGGTGCAGTGACGGTTGGTGGGGAGGGTGGCTGAGTGTGACTCTGCAGTCTCAGGCATGATGGCAGCTGCTGGAGGAAACAGACGCCGACAGAGAAACGTTATCAGAAAAGTCAACAGGACATGAGGATGAAAACTCCAGCGGAACTTTACTCACTCTGAGACGCGAACACTCAAACTTCCAGAATAAAAGCACTTACTTCAGGTAATGTGGCGCTCACAGGATGTCCGAGGGTCCTCTAAAAACAGGTTGGAGTTTGGTTCAGAAGCAAGCCAGAAGCCACGCCCTCCCAGACACGCCTGAATTCCAGGGGTGTGTGTTCCTGTGTCCATGCACCAGTAATCCCGCAGAGTGAGTGAGTGAGTGAGTGAGTGAGTGAGTGAGTGAGTGTTGCAGAAGTTTAGAAGATTAAAGTATTTTAGCTGTAAGTTATTTTCAAAAGCAAACTGAAAAACAGTAAATAAAGATGATAAAGGGAAAGTAGAGGCGCTAGTGGTGGTAAAAGTGAAGATCTTCAGGTGTAAATGTTTAAGAAGGTCTCACAGCTGCACACAAACATCTGGATTGTTTACTATAAAGTAATTCTGAGCTGAGGCAGAAATAAAATGACTAAATTAAATAAAAAGTCTGACAGACGGAGAAACACCGTGCTCCAACTCAGAGCTCCAAACAGACTGGTTCTTCTGGAAACCAGACTGGTAATGGTTAGTTTCACACATGCACACTTGTTGTTTGTTTGTTTGGTTTGGCAGTGTCATGACTCGAGGCATTAACTGGACTCAACACACACTTCTGTTAGAATGTGTTTATGCTGCAGGCTCCAATGTGCATCAGTTACACGTCTGAAAGAGGTCAAAAGGTCACATTTTCAGTGTCCAAAAATATTGTCTCAGTCCAAAGAAATGTCCAGCAGAGTTGAGCAAACACCAGAGTGACACAGATGCATTAGGGTTTAAAAACAAGCAAGATTACAACAATGTTTTTTAAAAGCATGAGCAACTTGTAGCAAAATGACTATCAATCAATCAATCAATCAATCAATCAATCAATCAATCAAAGTTTTATTTATAAAGCGCCTTCCGGAACCCTGTCAGGAAGCCCAAAGCGCTGAAATATGACTAAAATATGAACTGAAAACAATAAAATAATAAAATACACTTCAACTAAACAAATACAACCTGTGTGTAAAAGAAAATGATCTTCCCGCATGCGTTCTGGTTCTGCGAGGCGCTCCAAGCCCCTCTCCACATCTTCAGCTCGCTGCGCACCTTACGTATACACTGTCAGCGAGCTGCGCTGAGCAGTGTCCAGTTCAGATGTTTAAATGGGATCTTTTCTTGAGTGATTTAGCTACATCTGCGATGTACTTAACGAATAAAATGTCAGTTCGTCTGCATACGTTGGGGTAATTCTTTCTATTCATTTTCTGTCAGTAATAAACTGAGGTAAAGCCAGCCTCCACTCGCCGATTCAGTGAGCCCTTACTTGATTTTGCTAGGCGCACGCGTTCTCATCTTTACGGTAAAAGCTCAGGCCACTGTTTTTCAAAATAGAAGCCCATCTCAGAAATGTATTTTCTGGCTACTTATATGAAAAAAACTTCAAAAATGGAATTCAAAACTTACCAAATTGTTGGCAAAAGGAGATCTGAGGCACTCAGGAGGTACAAAAATAAAAAGCCTTTATTAGTACATGGCTTAAATTGTTAAAAACATCAATGCCAACGCGTTTCAGCCCACAGGGCCTTCGTCAGGGCTCAAAATGTTTGTATACTTATATGCAGTCTACCTGCCCAGCTTTGGCAGGTGTCATTGATTGGCCTTTTTAACATGGGGGTGAGTGAGTATACAAACATTTTGAGCCCTGACGAAGGCCCTGTGGGCTGAAACGCGTTGGCATTGATGTTTTTAACAATTTAAGCCATGTACTAATAAAGGCTTTTTATTTTTGTACCTCCTGAGTGCCTCAGATCTCCTTTTGCCAACATTTATGTGGATCCCTTGGCTGAAGAGCACCAGTGAGAGCACCAGATAAGATTTCTCACACCCCTGCAGCACTTCCAGCATTTTTTCTATTTGCATTTCTTAAGGACATCAAGGGATTGTTCTTGGCTGAAGTAGCTCCGTTTTTTCAACGTTGGGGACTTACCTGCTTCTCATCCAAAAATGGCTACTGGATACTTCTCATATTCAAAAGAAGAAGGTGAGAGCATTATCATCTCTGATACCCTATTTGACCAGAGCTCTGCAATAACTACAGATGCTAAAAAACTACTCTCTGAAGTTAAAAGACTTTCTGAAAAAGATATGAAATTACAACTACATATGACTACATTGTCTGATTACTGGAGAGAGAAAATGATACCAAGAGGACTGAGAATTAAAAAATTTCCATCATTTGGAGCAGAAGATTCAGACTTCAAAGGGAAATGGGAGGCCATACTCAATAAATGCTCCCTAGATCTCATGCTTCTCCTAATACAAGAGGCAAAAAAACAGAAAACTCAAATTCAAAATGAAATTGCCACTTTGAAAGAAGAAATCTCTACTAATTTCAAAACACAACAAATCCCTTTTGAAAAAGAACTGCAAATGGATTTAGAAAAATTACAAAGGGAAGTTAAACAAGAAAAGCTGAGGAAATTCAATAGAGACGTATCAGACTACAAAGAAAATAAAGTTTACATGTGGAAACAAAGACAAAGCTTTCAAACTCAGTCACAACGAAGAAGAACTGTTTCCTTCCAACTGCCTAGCAGTGATGAGGATCACCCGGAGACATCAGAATCCTCCCCATCCACTTTTTTAGGCACCAGATCCCAAAGAAACAAGCAGAGACAAAAAAACGTAAGACAAGAAGAGGGAGAAGCAAGTCATCAAGGATTCACACGTTACAGTCGACATACCAGAAGCAGAGACAAGATGAAGATCAACAAGTAATTAACATTTCAGGGGTTCCTCTTTCAACCTGTCAGATCTCTGTTTTATCAAAATGTCTCACGTTTGCTCCTAAGAACACGGCTAAAGAATTCCAGACCAAAATAGATTTGTTCAAGTTTCACCGTAATCTTCAGCTGAAAGTCTGGTACCATACGAATTCAAGTCAAGCAGCTTCTCGAGACCATATACAGCAAGATGGTGGGAGAACCCCATTCAGACCCAAGTCCACCTTTATACCCAACATATGTAATCAGACTCTGAATGTCTTCTACAAAAAAGTTACACAAGAAGTTGATCAACTCTTTGCATCTAAAAATAAAACGAAGCATAATCTCACAAACAAAGAAAGAGATGCAATTAAGAGGTTATCAGCTAATGAAGACATCATCATCAAGAGAGCTGATAAAGGAGGAGCGGTAGTTGTGTGGGGCAGAGACCAATATGTCACAGAAGCTAAGAGACAGTTGGATAACAGTGAATACTATAAACACATTCAAATGAATCCAACAGAGCAAATAAAGACTGAACTTAAGGAGATGCTTATACACGCTAAAAATGAACTATGGATCTCACAAAAAGAACATGACTTTCTACTGAATGAGCACCCAAGAATTCCTTCCTTCTACATGCTCCCTAAAATCCATAAGAACTTGGAGAATCCACCAGGCAGACCAATAATTAGTGGCAATGAATCAATCACAGAACCAGCCTCACAGTTTGTAGATTTTTTCATTAAACCATTTGTTTCTGAACTGCCTTCTTTTGTTCAAGACACTACTCAAGTACTGAACAAACTGAATGATATAAGGAACATAGGACCTGGACTTCTTGTTACTATGGATGTGGAGGCGCTATACACTAACATTGACCACACAGAAGGACTAGAAGCACTAACCTATTACCTGGACCAAAGACATTCAGAAGATATGCCTCCATCTTCTTTCATCCTTCAGCTGGCGAAGTGGACTCTATGTAACAATGTGTTTCTGTTTCAGAACCAATTTTTTAGACAGAAAAAAGGTACAGCAATGGGAGCATGCTTTGCACCCAATTACTCTAATCTTTTTATGGGACTTTGGGAAGAAACATATGTATACTCTGATCGTAATGTCTATGCTGATAAGATGATGTGGTGGGGAAGATACATTGATGACATTATTCTGCTGTGGTCTGGTTCAGAATCAGAACTACTTCAATTCCATTCATATCTTAACAAAACTAACAAAAGTTTGAAACTCAGCCTAGACTTCTCCTCATCAGAAATTAATTTCCTAGATATAAAAATCTCAAAATCTGATAATGGAGATTTACACACTTCTATTTTTAGAAAACCTACTGACCGTAATACAATCCTCAGAGCAGACAGTTTCCATCCATCATGGTTAATAAACAACATTCCCACTGGTCAGTTTCAAAGACTTAGACGTATTTGTGACACAGAAGAAGAATTTGAAAGAAATGCTACAGTTATGGGCCAGAGCTTTACAACAAGAGGATACCAGCAAAGAACGATACTCAAAGCGTATAATAAGACTAAAAGCCTGCCAAGAGAACAGCTATTGGTACCTAAAGAGAAGAACCAACAAAGATCAGATGGTGTTAATTTTGTGACCCAATTCAGTGATCAAGCCAACAAGATCAAAAAAATAATAACAAAAAACTGGGACATACTGAAAAGTGACAGTGTTCTTAGGGAAGCGCTCCCAGATACTCCTACTATCAGCTTCAGACGAGCCCCAACATTAAATGATCAACTTGTTCAAAGTCACCTTCCTCCACAGCAACAAAAAACCTGGTTATCAACTCGAAAAGGCAACTATAAATGTGGAAATTGTGTTCACTGTGACAACATGACTAACACTAACTGTTTTGCTGATGTTTTCACAGGACGTACTTTTTACATTAATACATTTATCAATTGCAATACTTCATTTGTGGTCTACAGGCTAGAATGCCCATGTGGTTGCTTCTATATTGGAAGAACTAAACGCAAGTTAAAAGCAAGACTTGCAGAGCACAAACAAGCAATCAGATCTGGTAATCCTCTCTATCCTATGGCAGTGCATTATAAAGACACAAATCATGGAAGCTGTAACTCTCTTAAAATCACAGGGATTGAACATATAAAAAATTCAATTAGAGGGGGAGATAGGCTTAAAAAACTCTTGCAAAGAGAATCATTTTGGATTTACACACTAAAAGCTACTAATTTCCCAGGTCTTAATGGAGAATTAGATTTAGCTCCTTATTTATAATCTCATGTTTTCTTACAATTTGTGTACCATATTTATAATTTTTTCTCAAATTCTAGAAGTGAAATTTCATATTTGTAAGTATTCATCCTTACAATAGGATTGTTTAGATGTAAAAAGTTTTTGTGTTGTACTGGCCATCCAATCAGAATGCAGTCTACCTGCCCAGCTTTGGCAGGTGTCATTGATTGGCCTTTTTAACATGGGGGTGAGTGAGTATACAAACATTTTGAGCCCTGACGAAGGCCCTGTGGGCTGAAACGCGTTGGCATTGATGTTTTTAACAATTTAAGCCATGTACTAATAAAGGCTTTTTATTTTTGTACCTCCTGAGTGCCTCAGATCTCCTTTTGCCAACATTTATGTGGATCCCTTGGCTGAAGAGCACCAGTGAGAGCACCAGATAAGATTTCTCACACCCCTGCAGCACTTCCAGCATTTTTTCTACTTACCAAATTGTATTTATATTGCCGTTTTAACCACTCAGAAATGTATTCATCACTCATCCAAAATCTAAACCTTCAACCTGTCTTCTAGATCCTCTTCCCACCACCTTAGTTAAAGCCTGTCTCCCGTCCCTTTTACCCCTCATCATCAACATTATACAGTCATCTCTTGCCACTGGTTCTTTCCCGCTCTGTTTAAGAAGTCTGCTGTCACTCCCATATTAAAAAAGCAAGGTGCTGATCCAAACGACTACAAAAACCTCCGTCCAATCTCTAACCTTCCATTTCTATCCAAAATTCTTGAAAAAGTGGTCGCTGTTCAACTACACTCTCATTTATCCCATAATTCTCTTTATGAAACTTTTCAGTCAGGATTCCGCCCCCATCATAGTACTGAGTCTGCTCTTATCAAAATTACAAATGACCTTCTGTTGGCTGCCGATACCGGTCTTCTCTCCGTCCTCATTCTGCTTGATTTAAGTGCTGCTTTTGACTCCATTTCCCACCCCATCTTACTCAAACGACTGTCTGCAATCGGCATTACTGATGCCCCTATGGCTTGGTTCAAATCTTATCTTTCATCACGCACCCAGTTTATACAACTTCACACTTTTCAATCTCTCCCTTCTCCAGTGACTTCCGGTGTTCCACAAGGATCTGTTCTCGGCCCCCTCCTTTTTATCATTATCTACTTCCCATTGGTGGAATTTTTTGCAAACATAACGTTCAATTTCGTTGTTATGCTGACGACACTCAACTCAACTCATCAAGCCTTCCAGTACACTTCCTCCATCCTCCCTCACTGACTGTATCTCTGACATTAGTTCATTTATAAAATTAAAAACACTAAAATTCTATGATCTGGTGGACTACAATATTTTAAAATGTATGTATAATGCAAACAAAAGGAACTTACCTGCAGGTTTAATCAAAAGATTTACAAAAAGACATAGTAAATATGATTTAAAAGGACATGAATTATTTAATATACCTAGACATCGGATACTCATAAAGGAACATTGTGTGTCCACATATGGAGTTAAATTGTGGAATAAATTAATTACTGAAATCAAGAATGCAAAAACAATATTGACTTTCAAAAATAAAGAGATAAAAAATGAAATGATTGACTTATATATAGATCTGTTACATAAATGCATGAGAGGAGGGGGGTTGGGGGGATGAAAAAATAAGGAAACAAGTCTTTGTAAGCATATGTGTATATGTGTATGTATATAGGTCTATAACTTTATGCTTCTTTCTGTGTAACTTGTTTTCTTTCTTTTTTTCAATTCATGGGTTGAGGTTGTGTCAGCCAACCAGTCCAGAAACTATATTGTTCAAATTTTTTAAGAATCATATGATTGTTTCATTTGTATTAATGTTATTTTAGTTAAAAGGGGCAGATAACATAAGTTTTTCTTCTTTGTCCCCTTTCTCATTTTGTTTTGTCGCAATTTAGTTCTGTATTTCTATTTTAATGTCAATAAATGAAAATAAATAAATAAAACAAAAAAAATGTTCCTGGCTTTCCTCAACTTTCCGAAAATTAAACTCCAATAAGACCGAAATCCTTTGTTGGCTCCAAATCCACCCTTTCTTTAACTAACAATTTTTCCTTTACCATTGATAACTTCAGTTTCACCCTCCCTCTCGGTAAAAAGCCTGGGTGTCATTTTGGACAGCACACATTCATTTCAGCAACACATCAACGATACCATTAGAGCTGCTTCCTTTCACCTAAGAAATATTAACCGTCTCTGTCCCTCCCTTTCTCCTCAGACTGCTGCCCCCTTGGTCCATAGTCATTAGCCGTCTTGATTACTGCAACTCCCATCTATTTGGCCTCCCCCCGAAATCCATCAACCGCTTACAACTGGTCCAGAACTCTGAACAAACTCCACTGGTTACCTGTCAAATTCCAAATAGAATACAAACTCATGTTGCACACATTCAAATCCATCCATGATCTTGCTCCCCCTTATTTATCTAATCTGCTTAAAACTACCTCCTCCTCTCGCTTACTTCGTTCCTCTGCTTCACCACACCTCGTCGTTCCCAGGATCAGACTCAGTACTATGGGGGGGTCGAGCATTTAGCTACTCCGCTCCTAAGCTCTGGAACTCTCTTCCACCTAACATCAGGAACCTCGACTCTCTCCACCTTCAAGGCACACCTTAAAACCCATCTGCTCTGGCTGGTATTCTCTTATTTTATTTGCATCTTTTAGCAATGCTGAATAATTGACTGTACTTGTTTTCTTTGTTGTTTCTATGTTTGTCGATTTTTATCTTTACAGTGTCCTTGAGAGTCCTGAAAGGCGCTTCAAATTAAATGCATTATTATTGTTATTATTATTAATCTGTTTTTTTTGTTTGTTTTTTGGTTAGAAAAAAAGAGGGTCATCTAAAGCTCAAATGATCAGGAGGAGAGCCGGCATGATGAGATGATGTGAGATTAAGCTATAATTCAGGGTATCTGCAGGTTGAAGGGAGCTAAATTTAAGACTTTTTAAGACCTTTTTTAAGGCCACTTTGACCAAATTTAAGCTATTTTTAAAATTAAATTTAAGCTATAATTTCCAGCTATTACCTGGAACTGGTGCTAACCACGTCGCGAATATGGTATTAGCCATCCAGTTACCATTAAACTTGCACTTCCCCATGGTGCAAGCTCCCACTAGCTTAACCAGCTAATGCGCTCGTCTAAAAATAGCCCCCTTTCACAACCAACTGAATGTGTACGGTTCTGCTTATGGCAGCTTGCCAATCAATTTCTCTCTGGGATTAATAAAGTATTTTTGAATTGAATTGAACATCATACACCCAAAATGCTGAACACTAACTAGAAATTCACAATTTTTTTATAGAAATAAAAAAATCTTGTTTATTGAGTCTTTGGTAATTTAAGACCTTTGGAAACTGTATTTAAGGATTATTTGTAATTTTTAAGGATTTTTAGGGCCTTAAATTTGTAAAAGCTAATTTAAGACTTTTTAAGGACCCGCGGATACCCTGTATAATTACTCTTTTAGAATCTTTTTATTACAACCGAGTTAACTGACCCAACACCTCAAATGTAACCATATTAGCCAGAGCATTTTAAAATTTAGTGAAAAAAATGTATTTGCTTTATTTTGAATGTCGATGAAATAAAAAATTATATCCTTCCACATTTAGAGCTTCTTTATTTTTTAAGTAGGGGGAATCATTACAGATGTGAGGGATAAACCAGGCAGTATCGCTGAAATAAACACCCGCAGCTCCTCAAATCCTCTGAATCTCGAACAGCCGGATGTCGGTGTCGTACCAGACGGGAGGATCCACGTTGCTGCAACAAGAGAGAAAATCACAAGCGTCCAAGTCTCAGACATTAGATCCAGCAGCTGTAAGACGACAATGTGAAGGGAGAGTGGTTTACCGCAGGTAGATGACTCCCCACATGTAGGTGCGGAACCACATGGCAGTGCCAGCGTTCGCTTGGTACTTCCTGATAAGAATGGGATGAGGAACAGGCAGCAGGCCGACGAGCGTGCCGTGCTGCAGGAACTTCAGGATTTCAGACTCATCTGTTAGACCCCTGAGAATAAAAATAAATCTCATCTATTCAGGATCCAAACACGGATGTTTGGTCTCCCTGCATGAACGAGGATCTAAGTCACTTCAGTTCTGAACATTAGTGCATTATGAGTGCTTTATAAACCAGTAGCGGATCTAGGAATTTTGTGAGGATGGGGCCATCAAGGGGCCACAATATTTATAGAGGGGCCACGTACAGTCCAACATACTTGCATACTATTCCCAGTTTTGTATGGTAGATACAGTTTACCACCCACTCAAATCTTCTGTTAGATTTCACACACTATTTTGCTCCTTAGCGCCACGCGGCCACTAGTGTTTGGACTCGGAATTGCATCCACCTATAATCTCATAACCGCACAAAGGACAGATGAGTGACAGGACAGGGGCACTACAGGGGCCAATCATATTTCAGGAGGGGCCAGTGCCCCTGTGGCCCCGCCCCTAGAACCGCCAATGTTATAAACTCCCAATCGGGTTAAATTTGAACATTAGAGAGCATGTTCTAGTTAGATTTTTAGGAATATCCTTCTAATGCAGATACAAGGAAAGCATTCGTTCCCTTATTTGCCCTACAGCCTGCACTATTGGAGAGTAACACTAGTTTTACATATGGACAATATGTGTTACATAATATCCACTCACACATAGAAAAGTAAACAAATGTATCCCACTTGAACAAGCTGACTGATTGCTGAGCTTCGACTTGGAGAGTCTACAACATTTAGTTTAAAGATAAACAATCTCATACTTGTCGATGCAAATCTTTTCCACCTGAGGCACCAGAACCTGCAGCAGCCTCATGATCGTTTGGAGAGGAAGTTTGGATTTCCACGACAACATCTGAGAAAAAGTAAATGATGAGAAGAGTCACCTGACAGCAACAAGAGTCAAAGTTCAGCAGGAGGAACATGTTCTCACCCAGTCTGGGCTGGCGCTCCAGGATGCCTCCGATGAGACGCTCGACATTCGACTCCTTGATGCCACTGGCTGTTTGTGTTTAGTCTGACGACAGATTCAACTTTTAGAAAAAAGAAAACCAAACCCAGGGATTGACAGGTGAAAGGTCAGAGGTACCTCGTGGTTTCTCTTCAACTCGGCGTCACTGACTCCGTGGGTGGCGTTGCTGTCGGCTGGCTTCGCTGCAGATGGTGGAAGTGGCACAGTGATCATCGTCCCGTCTTCACTCACCTGAGACCTCTCTGTTATCTTATCGATTCCTGAAACACAAATTCAAACCTGCTGTCATTTTCATTCCGGGGCTTATTGAAAAGCCTAGATTAATTATTGTGTCTTTAGGGTGAGTTTGAAGCTTTAAATCTTTATCTTGGCTTAGTTTACCAGCTTAGCATAAAGTAAAAACACTGACAAACTATAAAAGAAAAAAATATTGAAATTAAAATCTACTTGATCAACAGGGAGCAAAAAATATTTACTGATAGTTTTTTTCTGAAAGCTTATTTTGTCTTTTTGTCATTCCTGACACCAAACATCCATCCACCCATCCTATTCTGCTTATTTGAGGGCAGCAGCCTAAACAGGGAAGCCTAGACTTCCCTCTCCCCAGCTCCTCCGGGGGAATCCCAAGGCGTTTCCTGGCCAGCTGAGAGACATTGTTCCTCTAGTGCACACATGTCAGACTCAAGGCCCGCGGGCCAGATGCGGCCCGTGGAGCATTTTTATGTGGCCCGCGAGATAAATATCAAAAATATATTAAAACTGGCCCGCTGGCCGATTTTACCGCAAAGACTTCAACTCCCATGATGCTTTGCAGCGTCAGCGCGGAGCCGACGCGCCTCCTCCTCTGTGTTTTTTCCAGCGCCTGCTGCCGGTGTCTGCAGCTCCGCTGTCTCGGACAAACTACACTCCTCTCACTCAGCGCTGAGTTCACTCAGCTGTTTTCTGACGTTGAAGCCCAGAAACGGAGATTCTAGCCGCTCAGTAATGTGTTCACGACTGAAAGAGAAAGTTTTCCAACTAACGTCCAGACAGAGCTGATATAACTCCAGCGAGCAGCGACATGCTCAAACCAGCACGACTCTGTGGTCGTGTTTCCTCCCCGACACACAACAACGTGGTCAAGCTGCTCAGACATGTTCAGCAGCACAAACCTATGTGAGCACCTGTTGTCATCTAATGTTGTCGTTATTATGATGAAGATGAACAAAACAACAGGAGTCTCCTCCTCAGCTCAGATCAGCCCCATGATGCAGGTATCTGGCTGGAACAGGTGAGCATCACAGTAAACCAGTGGAGCAAACTGAGCTTTAAATATGTTGGTTTTATGCTCTTTTTCTGCTCCAAAACATGAAAGTTAACAGGTGAGATGTTGCATTTTCATTTAAGATAAAATGATATTTTTATTTTGTTGTTGGCCCGTGAGAAAAGATTTAAAAGATTTAAAGATTTAAAAGATTTTAAAAATGCTGATTATACCACAAGTAATGAATACCACTGATGCCTTTTATTTAAAACTGACTTGCTCGTGTGTCATTTGTTTATTCCACATTCAGTGTTAACGCAGAAATAAGTTTGTTTCCTAATTTAAAGGTTCAAAATTGCATATATGTTGTTAAAGAAAATGTGCAAATTTGCCGTCACTTTTTCAAAAAATATTAAGTTTGGCCCTCGACTCCGTCCCAGAGTTTCATTTCGGCCCCGTGTGAGTTTGAGTTTGACACCCCTGATCTAGTGTGTCCTGGGTCTTCCTTTAGGTCTACTCCCAATTGGACGTGGCTGGAGAACCTCACCAGGGAAGCATCCATGAGGCATCCTAACTAAATGCCAGAGCCACCTCTATTGGCTCCTCTCGATGTAGAAGAGCAGCAGATCTACTCTGAGCCCCTCCTGATTGACCGAGCTTCTCACCCCATCTCTAAGGGAGAGCCCAGCCACTCTGCGGAGGAAACTAATTTCAGCTGCTTGTATCCACGATCTCGTTCTTTCGGTCACTACCCAAAGCTCATGACCATAGGTGAAGGTAGGAACGTAGATCGACCCGTAAATTGAGAGCTCTGCCTTCCGGCTCAGCTCTCTCTTCACCACGACAGATCGGTACAACTCTCGCAGCACTGCAGACGCAGCACCAGTCCACGTATTTAATAGTAGTTTTTTTTTCGTCCTTTAACAAGCAAGTGCCTATATTTGATCATACGTGCATGCTTTCAACTAGCTGATAAGAGTGTGCCGCTTTGAGTCTAGAATATTGATCCTTTTCACAATCTTGTAATTGTCTGAGATTCTGAATGTGGGGTATTCATCAGCTGCAAGCCATAATCATCACAGTTATGACAAATAAAGGCTGAAATATCTGGCTTTGCATGTAGTGAGTTTATCTCCTATATTGGTTTCACCTTTTAAGTAAAATTACTGACACAGAAAAAGTACTTTTGCACTATATTCCAATTTTTCGACCTTTATGGAGTTTTTGTAGGTTTATGTTACTCGTTATTTATTTTTTTCTACATGCTGTGGTACCTGTGGCTGTCCTGTGAAATAGCAAATGGTAAATGGCCAGTATTTGTAAAGCATCTTCTTATGGGCTCTGCACACGGGAGGCGACATCGCCTCTCCTCCATTCATTTTCAATGAGACATGCGCGACAAAGCGATAATCGCGGGTCTCCCTCCTACCAAGCGAAACGCGAAAAAGGTGCGTGTGAAATTTTGCGCTCGTGCACGTGTCGTGCACAGGCGACGCGATTCCAGAAAGTTGAAATATTTTCAACTTTTCATCGCTGTCGCTCGGACGAGGACCAATCAACGGAGGTTTCATTCACTGACCAATGAGCGGACAGGATGCTCCGTACATCTCCGAGCAAACATGGAGGAGAAGTTGATTATTATTATGTTTTATAGTAAAATCAGAAGTAAGATTTCACATAACTCTAGCAGCACCTTGTGAAACATCATATCTACCGCTTTTTTAACTCTGAACCGCTAAAATAACCTTAATTCCCTCCAACCTGACACAGCCAAGCAAAACAACGGAAGTTTCGATTTCGCCGCGGAACAGAACGCGTAGACGGTTTTGCCGCTGGCCGCTGCCGCGGATCGCCTCCCGTGTGTCAGGTAATAAAAGCGACGGCGACAAATTTCGCTGATCGCGGTCGTTTGTCGCCTCCCATGTGTCGAGCCCATCAGGGTTCTGCAACCCCCCAAGGTGCTTTACAACACAATCAGTCATCCACACATTCACACACTGGTGGTGATGCGCTACACTGTAGCCACAGCTGCCCTGGGGCGCACTGATGGAACTACCGAACACAGGCACTACCGGTCCATCCGACCACCACCAGCAGGCAAGGTGGCTTAAGTGTCTTGCCCAAGGACACAACAGCAGAATTCTCTACCAGGAGCTGGGAATGGTCCTATAACCCTCTGATTACTGGACAACCCGCTGTCCTAGAGTTTGCTGACACCCCTCCAACTATTTTTTGCGGTTTCTATGCACCTTATGGTTGTTTGATTAACTTTATTTAGTATCAAAGCTGTATTCTAAGTCAGATTTGAAGTTTCTAGACTGATCCAGCGTCCTACCTGGAGTGGCCTCTAAACTGGCTTTGAGTGTGCCGGGTTCAGCGGGGGCAGCAGGTCTGGATCCTTCCATGGACTCATCTGTAGAGTTAATGTTGTCTATGCCAGACTTTTTCCTCTTTTGTAAAGCTTTCTGAATGGACGGCCCATCGGTCGGCAGGTTGGCTAGCTGCTGGAAAACGTTGCGCTTACGGATGATGGCGTAAACAAGGTTGGAGTTTCCTAAACGAGAGTTCAGAGCTTTAGGTTGTGTCCTGAATGCTGCCACACGGACGAGCTCGCGTCTTTGTTCTCACCATCAAACTGATACTGAATGATGTTGTTGAAGACCTCCAGCAGGAAAAAGACCAGATTGTGGTTCTGAGGAGCAGTGAGGAGGAACCAGGGAGTGGAGAAGGCCTCTAGGAGGTGGAGCAGCTTGTTGGCTGCTACCATGGAGAGGCTCTTCAGGTACGGTGAAACTGTGGAGGCATAAACATGCTCAGAGATGCCTCAACTCCTCCAGCAGGTGGCAGTAAGTTAGCTGTTTTACTTACTGTTCACGATGATGGTGAGCAGGCAGTCAAACAGAGGATGGAGACGCTGGTGACCACAGGTGATGATTTTATGAAAAATCTAAGAAATATACGAAATATGAATAAAAGTGACTCCAGGGGTCCTGAAAGCTAACAGTTTACAGAACAAACAACACATCTCTGAATCTCCCGGGTGTTCAGTTTCAGGCTTCTCACCACGATGAGCAGATCGGCGTGAGTTCCTGTGAAGACAGGAATGTCCATGGGGACCCGAAGAGTGTAGGGTTTGTTCAGACGAACACCGAAGTTTCTCTCTCCACTCAGCAGCAGCAGGATGAACACTCCGATGTGCACGAGGCCCACGCGAGCTGCAGCACAAACAGATAGAGCTCACACACTTTAAACTTCTTATTCCATTGTTCTTTAACGGAAATGTACTCACACTGATCTGCCCTGGCGTCGTTCAGGTAGAACAAGATGGGGACCAGCATCTCCAACACGTCGCTGCTCTTCAGCACAAAGAACAGGAACTTCTGCAGCCAAGAACATTCGGGTCAGGTCATCAAACATCCAACAAACGACAGCACGAGGTGCAGAACAAAAACAGCAAATCAACTTCTCGGGTGTTTTGTGACAAAGTTTAAAAATCTCTTGTTGCTCTAAAACCTTCAAACAACCAGCCCTGCTGCCTTTCTTCTGAACCAACAAGGGTTAGCGTTAGCCTGGCCGGCCGTACTCGTCCTCTGCTCTACACAGAGAAGGAGTCTGGTAACTCACAGGCAGAGAGGCACATGAGGGGCGGGACTAGCCAGCTCAAAAATAACCAATCAGAAAAAAGGCAGAAATGCCGACCGTACCACGCAACACAGTAGTTCTTTAGCTGTAGTCAAAAATGGCGTCTGGCGGCGGCACAAACGTCTTTGTTTAGAAGAAATGCTTTTAGCGCTTCGACTTGTTGTTGTTGCGAAGCCGTTTACAAGAAGGGACACAGCAGACTGCACTTCTTGAGGACGCTTAGGTCCTTCAATGTCTGTAGCAAGATGCTGCAGATCTTCTACAAGTCTGTTGTTGAGAGTGTAATCTCTTCAGCCATCGTCTGTTGGGGTAGCAGCATCAGAAGCAGGGACCTGAAAAGGCTCAACAGCCTGATAAAAAAGGCCGGTTCTGTTCTGGGGACGACTGTGGAACCGCTGGAGGAGATCATGCAAAGAAGGATTCTCCAGAGAATCAAGAAAATGATGGACAACCCTGAGCGTTCTCTTCACAAGACTGTCCGACAACGGAAGAGTGTCTTCAGTCAGAGGCTTCTTCAGTTTCGCTGCAACACTGACCGCTACTGGAGATCCTTCCTGCCAACAGCCATCGTAATATAAAATAACTCTTTGATGACTTGATTATTATTATTATTATTATTATTCTGAGCTACTACAGCAATCAATTTCCCTCTGGGACTAATAAAGTATTTTTGAATTGAATTGAATTTTAAAGACGGGTTGAAGTCATTTGGAACAGAGGAAAGAGCTGCAGCCAACTCCGCTTCAGTCGCCATGTTTATGACAAACTCAACGTCGTGGTGTGTGAGGTACGCTGCTCAGCGCCGATTGGCTCGGTTAGAATTCTGGGAGGGTGGGGTCATTTGAATAGAAGTGCTCCAGGCTAGGTTAACGTGCCTCGGTGACCGAGAAACTTTACCAGCAGTACACCAACTTTAAAAAGCATTTCCGAAGTAAGCTCTGCTAATTACAAACACATACAATACAGCCCAGCACCTTGTTGAAGTCACAAAACTTCCAGAAGAGGATCAGCAGCTCCTGGTGGAACTGGATCTTCTTGGTTGATCGAGGCAGATAAGTCTGGATCAGAGGGTTGTTGAGCAGCCGAGCCAAACCTTTCAGAACGAAATTCAGGTCCTGGTGAGCAAACAGAAAGTACAAGTTAACCTATTTCATTATATGATCCTGGTCCCAGCTCAAACCAGACATCAGTGTGTCACAGTACCTCCTCTCTGTGGATCCTGGAGAGATAATTCACAAAGAGGTTGTCAGGCCCGGAAGGCTGGGAAAAGAAGACCTTCAGAATATTAAAGAAAACATCTCCTATTTAATATTTATGTTCGGTTAGACTCAGCTGATGATTTACTCTAGAGATGTGACTGTAGGAAAGAAGGTTTTATGTTTAAAGGGTGGTTCACTCATTTAATCAATACATTTGCAGTGGTCTCTAGTAGGAAGGAATACCTTGTAAGTCATTCTCTGGGGGTAAAAGCTCTGATGCACCTGAATCAGGAACTACAAGTCAGCTGGAGGAGAGAGTAGCTACAGACGGAAGGTTTTAGAGTCTTTAATTCTTGATATTTAAACATCTCACCTCGGACTGGATAAAAGCAACACAACTCTACCACTGACTTGTGTTTCCTTTGCAGTGTTGATGCTTTATCTCCACAATTAACTCAAGCATGAAGGAGTTCTGCTGTGTGGTGGAGTTGCTAATGCTAACTGTTAGATTCTGCTAGCAGATATGTTCTCTGCTGATTGCATTATTAGGTTCTTTTTTAACACCGGAGTGGTCGAAACTGTCAGCAAAAAAGGTAAAACAACTTTTCCTGTGTTGAAAAAAGAACCAAATAATGCAATCAGAAGAAATACACAGTAGGAATACACAAAAGATGTTCTCTGCTGTTTCCTGGAAGCTAAACCGACAACAGCCTTCCCCATTGTGAGTCAAGATGGGCGAGTCCATGAATGTTAGGTGACAGTGTGACGTAGATCTGTCAGGCTTTTCTAATTCTAGAGTTTCACCGTCTATTATCCATCAGAGGCTAATGCAGGAGATCGGTGTAGGAGCCTATTTTCATGTTCAGCCTGAGTAACCAAATATAATCAGAAATATTCATTAAAAATAATAAATAACCAGCATTCCACACATTTAAGAAATCAATAACAGGTTTTACTAACTAACAATTTACAAAGGATAACTCTTAGTGGGGTTCCACAGAGTTCAGTACTGGGACCAAAGAAATATTTGCTGATAATATAAACTTATTTGCATCACTAGGAGGTATAAAACAACAAGATATATATTAATATTAAAATGAATAAAAACAGTAGAGAGATGAGCGACATCTTAAATCTAATTAACCAATATTCTAAGGTTTTGTTTTAAGAAAAATAGCCTACCTCTGGCTCCTCCTCTGAAGGAAGGTGTGTGGAGGCGTCCAAAGCCTGGAGGGCAGCACTCGCGGCCGATCTGTTCTCGTGTTCCAGCGTAACGATCAGGATCTGCAGCGCCTGCTCCACCAGCTGCTCCCGGTAGTCAGAGAACAGCAGGTGGTTGTACGGAAATCCGTATCCAATTGGATCGTAGGCACACACCACATTTAGCAAGGATGTGAACAGAGGCAGGGCATGTCTAAAACAACAACAGGTATAGATCAGGCCGATCTTCAGATCTGTGATTACTGAAAACTAAAAATAAAACAACAAAAACAGTTTCCTGCTGTAGACTGGCTGGTTTTGCCTCCTTTCTGTCTGATGGTTCATGTTATAGGATCTGAGGAGTCAAAACTGAATACATGTCCATGACTATTTCATACGGCAGTACCACTGATGACCACCAGGTGTCAGCTCCAGAGCCTGAGAGGCTAAGCAGACAAATGGTCAAAAATCCTGTAATTTCGTCATTAAATTAAGAGTCAATACATGTTTTGCCCACTAGTGTCATCACGTCGATTCAAGCCCTCTGATCATAGTTTCTTTAAAACTCATTTACACTCAATAAAAGATTTAATTGGCCAATCTGTAAACATGTCTGATGGTTTTGTTCCCTCTCAGCTGAAGTGACCATGTAAAATGTGTAATTTATAGCTGTTAAACTAAAGCAGTTAGATAAAACTACAACAACATTAACAACAATAATAATAGTAATAAAATAGTGTAAAATACTTAATAAAAGCAGACAGAAGCTGAGAGTCTGACTATCACCTGTTTTCTGCAGAACAAAAGAAGGAGACCCAGGGGTCAAACACTTTGCAGTCAGAGGAAGGAGAAAGGTACATGGCTTCAGAGAAACAGGTGAGAAGCAGCTTCAGCAGCTCTGTCCTGAAAATAGAAACATATAGAAAAGCTCAAGATACTCCTGAAATCATGCTTCAGTCTCATTTTTATGGCATAACTTCTTCAAAAGCAGCAACGTTGTCCAAAAGCGTAAGAGCCCCCTCCCCCCTCTACAGACAAAGCACGGAAGCATCAAACAGCACCACGGCTGGAGGAATGTCTGGAGGACGCACTGTAAACGGGAATTTATACAAAAACAGAAGATAAAACCAATTTAATACATTTACAACTAGCCAACTTCGGTGATTTGGACAGTAAATTTGATTCAATTGAAGTAAATGGTAAAACATTGAGATAACATTTTACAATAAAGGTCCCTTTTTAGTGCATTATTAAGCAATAATAAACAAAGGATCCCTTTATTTAAGTTACCGTTATTGTTAAAGAGCAAATTGCAAGTTAGAGACTCCAATGAACCAATGTTTAGAGAAACATAATAAAACCTTTTTAAAAAATGTTTACACATACATACATTATTTAGGCCAGTGGTTCCCAACCTTTTTCCCAAGGGACCCCGTTTTTTACCAGTAAAATTTTTGACGACCCCCTCCCATTCTCTCTTCCAGTACAAACATTATTAAGAAATGATAAAATTGTTCAAGCACATTTTAATATGCTTTGATTCAATAGATAACAGTAATAGTAGGCTCCAGTACAGAACAAAGTCATTAACAAAACCAAACAGAGCATAATGTGCTTGACAGTTTGTATTACTTTTCTGAACACATTGTTTCTTGTAAACACTGATAAATCAATCATTCCTTTCAATAAACGTTTGACACATAAAAAATACACTGAGCAAAATGTACATGTGTATATTACTATTACTTTATACTAGATTATTTACTGTAAAGGCTGTGATTAATCAACCAGTCCTATCTTTAATGAACTTTGACACTTGAAAATAAAACAGTGAGCTGAGCAAAATGTTCTTAAAAGTGTGTTACTCTTTCTGTACTAATTATTTTCTGTCTTAATATCAGTAAACTTTTCACTCATGAAAAAAAAGTGAGCAAAATGTAGGCTATAAACAAGTAATAAATGAAGTTTTAACCCCTTAAAGTGGAGAGGTCCTGGCGACCCACTGAGAGGCTTTGGCGCCCCCTTGTGGGGGTCAGGACCCCCAGGTTAGGAACCACTGGCTTAGGCTTTTAGAGTCATTTTTATGAGGAAAAATGTTTATTTTATTTTGCCATACCAAATGACATCAGTTGAGGGAGTCCTGTTAGCTTAATCTGTGAAAACTATGGATTGTAAGCTGGTTCTGACGCAGAGGAAACTTTAAATGTTAAAAAACCATAAAGTTATGTGTTTGCTGCATGCCCCAGAGAGCAGAGACAAACCAGAGGGAGAAACCATCGGCCAAAGCAGAGAGATTGAGAACAGCGGGGGAGCAGCAGGCGAGTTAACGATGCTAGCTTAAACTCGTGTGCATCGCAATATTGTACAGATTACTATCCAGACAATTAAAATAGTATCGGTCAGTTAATATAATATTAATACTAATGAGCATCTGTCAGCGGTCTCATACTTGTTAATATCCGTTCACCTAACGTAGTTTAGCGCTTAGAGAGAGGGAGAGAGACATCTGTCATCCGGTTCTGGAGCTCATGCGGGCTTCTGTGAGCTGGATCTGACCCAGACACCAGCTTGACTGGCTCACTAGTATTTTTAAAGGCCACGTATCCTCTCCCGGTGGTCCTGGCGGCGGTTCTGATTTGGTTACACCCAGAAACCAGCTCTACTGGCCCGCTGAGCCATGTGCCCCTTCTGTTGGTCGGTTCTGATGGTGATCTGAGCTCCAGAAATGAGCATTTAATTGTTTAAACCCCACCATGGGTCTCCAGAGCCCAGCGCGGACCTCCCTGACCCGGTACCGACCAATGTGGGCTACAGAAGTCCGTCTTTTCAGCTGCACAGAACGCCCTCAGGCACGGAGATTGAGGCGTTGTTTCTCTTAGGTGGAAACCCGAGGACTCGATGTCCAGACAGGCTGGAGTTGGTACAGCCTTCACAAACTAAAGTTTATCAACATGAACACAATCCATAACTAGTAAACACACACACTGACTAGATCACATGACCTCTCTACCCTAAAACTAGCCACTCTCCACACTGAGCTGAGGCAACGCCGAGCTTCTAACTCCCTTTGGTTACGTCAGAGGTTCAGATTTAGAAAAAAGAGCCTTTTAGAAGCTCTGCTGAGAAAGGCCACTTTTTACTAGAAAACTCTGCTGTTATGTATTTTAAAATGAAATATCCACAATAAGATTTGAAATAGTATTTTTGGACAACATTTTGTATGAATTAGAAAAAAATTAACCTGCAAACTGCTTTTTAAAGCATCTTTCTGGACTATTTCTGTTTATCCGATGACACCATCAAGTGGCTGACAAAACAAACTGTTCCCACTGAAGATATAGCGATCAAAATGAATAAGCTAGGTGTGTGACCTCACCTATTGAGGTCATGGATGTAGTTTGGAGGCGGTGACTGCGCAAAGCCAACTCCGGCCTCCCAGATGAGCTCACAGCTGTCAATGGGCCGCATGTCTTCCGATGCTTCCTGAAACAGAAAGGATGTGAGAGAAAGCCCCGCAGTCCTCTGACCCGAGATCCTTCGTGTGTTTAGATCATGTGGTTCCAGAGCTCCATGTGAACGGACACGGGACTAGAGCCGTGTCTTTGACACCTCAATACTGATAACTAAAGCCGTCTGAAGAGATGTGACAAGCTTTAAATAACCTGAGAGCTCAGAGTTTAGTTCACACACTCCCCTCATTGATCGGGGTTTGGGCAGTTGATCGCCTGTTGAACAAATGATCAGTCCAATAAATAACAAATTAAAATGGTTTTCATTCTGATATGTGCCCAGAATGCTCCTGTTTGCCTTGTTAACGTGTTAATGTGTTTGTTTATCATCTCTATTTCATCTTCTAGTTCCCTCTTCAGGGTATCTGCAGGTTTAAGGGAGCCAAATTTAAGACTTTTTAAGACCTTTTTTAAGGCCACTTTGACCAAATGTAAGCTATAATTTCCGGCTATTGCCTGGAACCGGTGCTAACCACGTTGCGAACGTGGGATTAGCCATCCAGTAGCCATTCAACTTGCCCTTCCCCATGGCGCAAGCTCCCACTAGCTTAACCAGCTAATGTGCTCATCTAAAAATAGCCCCCTTTCACAACCAACTGAATGTGTACGGTTCCGCTTACGCCAACATCGTACACAAAAAAAGCTGAACACTAACTAGAAATTCACGAAAAATTTATAGAAATAAAAGAATCTTGTTTATTGGGTCTTTGGTCATTTAAGACCTTTGGAAACTGTATTTAAGGATTATTTGTCATTTTTAAGGATTTTTAAGGCCTTAAGTTTGGAAAAGCCAATTTAAGACTTTTTAAGGACCCGCGGATACCCTGCTCTTGTTCCATTCACATCTAACTATCCATCTAGTTCATCATTTAATGGACCTTAACCAACATGCTGGTACACCAACAGCTAGTTCACAACCTGTCTGCTCCTCTTTCTGGTTCTCCATCGAACTACTTCACATCAAGTCCTTCTACCTCTCCATCTACTCCAGTCACACACGACATGGTTAACAGCAACCGAGTAGTCTTTGCCAAACTGGGGTCTGATGGTCCCTTCCAGGTTGCTGGTCCCATGGTGACAGATACTAGAGCTCCTCTCTGCAGGTCCTGATCTGTGTGAACTCAACTCCGATTTAGGAGTCAGAAGTCAGAAACTGTTCCATGACAACATGAGAGGGGGAGGGGCTTATGTCCAGAGACTAACTCATTTAGATCTTCAAAGATCTGGAGCTCTGTTGGTCCAAAACCACCTCAGCAGGTAAAAGGAAAGTCTGGCTGCTGGGAAGGGAAATGTAGCTCAAGATTTCTATTAAACCCCATTTTGACTAACAAGGCCAACCAAGGCAGGAGAATCTCGTCTCTGCTTTTTGCGGATGATGTGGTCCTCCTAGCTTCATCCAGCTCTGACCTTCAGCTCTTGCTGGGTAGGTTCGCGGCCGAATGTGAAGCGGCTGGGATGAGGATCAGCACCTCCAAATCTGAGACCATGGTTCTCGACCGGAAAAGGGTGGCTTGCCACCTCCGGGTCGGGGGAGAGGTCCTACCTCAAGTGGAGGAGTTTAAGTATCTCGGGGTCTTGTTCACGAGTGAGGGTAGGAGGGATCGGGAGATCGACAGGCGGATTGGTTCGGCGTCTGCAGTGATGCGGACGCTGAGCCGATCTGTCGTGGGGAAGAGGGAGCTGAGCCAGAAAGCCAGGCTCTCGATTTACCGGTCGATCTACGTCCCAATCCTCACCTATGGTCATGAGCTTTGGGTAATGACCGAAAGAACGAGATCGCAGATACAAGCGGCCGAAATGAGTTTCCTCCGTAGGGTGGCCGGGCTCAGCCTTAGAGATAGGGTGAGGAGCTCGGACATTCGGGAGGGACTCGGAGTAGAACCGCTGCTCCTCCGGATCGAAAGGAGCCAGTTGAGGTGGTTTGGGCATCTGGTCAGGATGCCTCCTGGACGCCTCCCCGGGGAGGTGTTTCGGGCATGTCCTGCCGGCAGAAGGCCCCCGGGTCGACCCAGGACACGTTGGAGAGGTTACATCTCCAATCTTGTCCGGGAACGCCTTGGGGTCCTGCCGGAGGAGCTGGTGGACAAGGCCGGGGAGAGGACGGCCTGGAGCTCCCTAGTTGGGATGCTGCCCCCGCGACCCGGACCCGGATAAGCGGAGGAAGACGAGACGAGAGAAGGCCAACCTGAAGCTGAGCCCAACCTGCTCCCACCTCCTTTTCAGAGCGATGTTTCTTTGTGCTTGGTGGGTCTGCAGGCAGGGGGAATAAACACCCTGGAAGTGTTTGCTGAGCTGAGGAGGAGGAATCCACCTTGTTTAAACAAGCAGGTCTGCTGCTCCCTGAGTCAAGCAGAGTCACTCATTAACTCCATCTCCAGCCTGTGGATGCAGATGAACCTGCACCACCACACCACCCGGCCTGGGTTCTCTAACAAGAGTCTATGACCTCCACTTTCACTCTGCTTGTGTTTCTGATTTTAAATGAATAATTAATCTGTGATAATGACAGTTAACCTGGATAAGCCATGTGTTTGCAGCTGATGAACAAATCTGATAACACCCTTAACTAAAAACACACCTTCAGAGCAGGACTACGCGGTATACAGCATCCAAGAGCTGCAGGGTTGCAGTCAGAACACGGATCACACTCTGACCTTTTTGTGGCTCTGGACGGTGAAGTCAGGACAGAACAGCAGGTCGGAGATGGCGAGCAGCAGCGATTCAGCCAGAGGCCGAGCTTCATTCACATCATCGTCTTCATCCAAAGCCTGGAGAACAAAACACATCTGTCAAAAGAAGTTCTGATGATGGTTTTAGATGTGTTGTAGTCAAATGTGATTTGTTTTCTGTAGAACAGTAGTGTAGAAACAGGTTTATTGTCCTTATCCCATCCTCTCAGACAGGATTCTTCATACGGCAGAACCACAGAGCTCCTGTCTGGTGGTTAGAAATCCTCCAGCTTCAGGTGCTGTTTGGTTCGGGGGCCTGGCAGTGGTGCAGAGAAAATCCAGGACTTCTGCAATGGAAATGTTCCTTCTGAGGACTCCATGAGAGCATGGCTGGGAAGAACAGTCAGCCCAGCTGCGACCCAACATGTTAGAGCACATTAATGTAGCAACACATTTTGGAGAGCTGGATCCAGTAGAGGGAGAGTATAAAGGGAACAGCAGGAATGGTCAACTCAAATCTCCAGCGGAGGGTTTCTAGCATCCTGCAGAACGGTGAGGACCGGAGTCTCGGCTGGCCTGACATTAACAAACAATAGTTTTTCCATCTAGTAACCATTTGTGTGTGTAATTATCTCTTCGTCCTGTTGACTATACCCCAGTAACTCTCTATGAGGATTCAAGTCAGACCAGTTTACTGACTCGTCAAGCCCAGCAAGTCCAGGATCACCGACCCAGCTTTTGGTACCTTTAGCAGTGTGGGTGGGTACCGAGTCCTGCTGGAAAATGAAGTCAGCATCACCATAAAGCTCTAAAATGTTCTGGTAGATGTCTCTGTGGAACATGGACTTCAGAGGACACGGAGGACCAACACCAGCAGAGGACATAGAGACCCACATCATTACTGACTGGAAACTTCACATGGACCTACAGCTCTCCTCCCTTCATCCGATTTCAAATGACCTGCAGACTTTACTTTCATCTTAAAAGAGGAGTCTGGACCACAACAGTCCAAGTATTTGTCCCCTTATCTCTTCTGATGTTGTGTCTGGTTCAGGAGCGGTTTGACATCAGGAATGAGACATCTATATAGAATAAGTCTGCCTTTAAGGCTCTTCATGCTCTGACTCCAGCATCAGTCCTGGTGAAGGGCCCCCAGAGTCCAGACTGGATTTGGCTTTACAATCCTCTCAAACCTGCAGTTCTCCCTGCTGCAGGTTTTTCCTTACAGGTAACTGTCTAGAAATCTGCTCAGATACAGCCCTTTGAACTAGCAGCTCCTTTAGTGGCTCCCCTCCATATGGAGGATGTCGGTGTCTTCTGGACACGTGTCCAGACAGAGAGACCGTTTAGAGGCTCCAAAAACGTTTGCAGGTGTTTGGAGTTAATTAGCTGATACGGGTATTAGTTTCAATATTTAACATTTTCATAATGTTGGTTTTGAGACACAAAATTTAGGATTTTCAAGTTCTGTAAGACACAAGTCATCAAAACGACTAGAAATAAATGATTGGATTGTTTTAATAATCTATGACTTTCACTTCTGAGATGACTAAACAAATAGAGAGTCTTTGATGTACCCATTTATGTGTTGATGGTGTAAACTGTAGATTTGTAATCTAATTCAAACTAGCTTGGGTTATAAAACACGGGCCCGAACTTTTTCAAAGCAAACAGACTTTTGAAAAAACTGCAGGCAAAAGTTTAGGAGCTAATCTGGTGACTCGTTTGCATGGACGTAATTTTCACTTTAGAAGTGGGGGGGGGGACATGGGGGGGGGGGGGTCTTTACGGTATGCTCTAATGGGAAACAGGCTTCAACACAAACGGTTGTTTTCCGCTTGGTCCTAGAGCTCAACTAGTGTCCATTTAATGTAGCGTAATATTGTTTTTGGATGGTAAAAAGTGCAGGGGTCAAAACTTGACTTTGGAAAAAGTGAGGGCGACATGTCCCCACCCCCCACCCCCCAAATTACATCCATGCTTGTTTGTAACAGGAAGAGCGTTCCGTTTAAGTCTGAAGGAGTTTGTATTGTTGCAGAGAAAACCAGTAACGTTGTTTCTTATGGGAAATGTTAAGCTTAGCTAATTGGAACCATTCGTGTTGCGGTTCACTCCGCAGAGAGCAACTGAGCTCCTAGTAGCAAGTTTTACTTGATTAATTTCTTTAAATCGAAAGGATTTTTCTGTAGAAGCTGAATTCACTCTTCTGTTCCACCCGCAGCTGCCTTGAACTTCTCCTCAGTTGCACACTTTCATCAACAGACATCCAATCCATCCTCTACTCAGCCACCGATGGAGACTCAGTACAATATGAGCAGTGTTCACAGCAAGGTCCCTCAGGCAGGTAACCAGAGACCACCTGGGCTTCAGATGAAAGGTGAAGGTTTGGACTCAGACCTCAGGCTCAGGATCAGCTCTGACGACCAGACAGCAGCATCTGCAGCTTTCAAACCAACTTCCAACATGGTTAAAAACAAAAATCATCTGCCCGAAGGATGTGTCCGACTCATACCTCAGTTCTTTTGGCTCCAGGGATGGTGGACCAGAAGAAACCTCTCCAGTCGGCATCCTCAAAAATGTACGGCAGGATTCGGGTCAGCAGGCGGGTGCAGTTCAACACGACCTGATGCTCCTTCTCCGAGGGGCAGCCGGAGTCAGCGCACTGAACCAGCCGCTCCACGGCCTGGTGGACGGGCCGCAAGAACCACGAGAGTCAAAATTATAGATACAAGTCCGACAAATGAATAATCAGCTTTCCTTTAACAAACAGAACCAATGTGGAGTAGAGGTGAAAGCAGAAACCAGTTTAAAGTTAAACATGTTTATATCTGTCATTGTTAACCCCAAAAAATGACAGAAAACATACAACTTCCTCAGAAAACAGAAACAGAAAATGTTTAAAAGGTTCTTCAGAGATTTTCTGCTTTGTTTTCCTATTAATTCAAAAAACAGAATGTTTTTTATAATCTCAAACAAACGTTAACTACCAGGAGAAACGGGCAGAGCTTCTGCTGTGAAGCCGGATCAAGCTGGTGGAAAGATTTCATTTCATTAAACTAGATCTCAGAGCAGGTCAAAAGCAGATCCAGGACCAGCTACGGAGGCTTTCAGATGAGCGTCTTCATGAGGAAGAATGTTTTAGAATGAAGGAACGTCAGATCCCATTATTCCCAAAACAACGCAACAGAAAACTTTATTTATATATAAAAGCAACAGGGTTGCCGTAAGTCCTGTACAACAGTTAAACATGAAATACTTGAGGCTTAATGATGGATGAATAAAAACACAAGCAGCTGGAAGGCTTTCAGACAGAGGCAAGATCTCAAACGGAGTCCAAGTTAGGTGATAGAACCTGTCTGATATGCCGCCGTAGAGCAAACCAAAGTGTTCTGCGACCTCTAGATCTACACCGTGCTTTAACAGGTAAAACGTCTGATCCAATGATCAAAGTAGGCTTGTCACGGTGTGAAAATTTAACCTCACGGTTATTGTGACCAAAATTATCACGGTTTTCGGTATCATCGCGGTATTTTTATTTTAAACGTGTTACATTTTCACACAGTTAAATAAACCCTGTACGTCAGAAAATATTGTCCTCAGTTTGTGTCTAAATTTTGCCTAAAATGTGTTATTTTGTAATTATGTTGTTTATTTGTTTACATTTTTCCCCTTTAGTCTTTAAAATACCAATATTTGCCCATAACTTCTTATTTTTGTCTGTTTGATGTCATCATTTTAAAAATATTAGATCAGATGATACTCAGTACTCAAGTAGCCTTCTAATCAGATACTTTTTACCCTTACTTGAGTAATAAACCCTATATCAGGAAAATATTGTCCTCGGTTTGTGTCTAAATTTTGCCTAAAATGTGTTATTTTGTAATTATGTTGTTTATTTGTTTACATTTTTCCCCTTTAGTCTTTAAAATACCAATATTTGCCCATAACTTCTTATTTTTGTCTGTTTGATGTCATCATTTTAAAAATATTAGATCAGATGATACTCAGTACTCAAGTAGCCTTCTAATCAGATACTTTTTTACCCTTACTTGAGTAATAAACCCTATATCAGGAAAATATTGTCCTCGGTTTGTGTCCTTCCAGTGAGCTTTGCAGATTTGGGAAAATGTCATCAGGCAGTAATCATTGTTAAATTATTAATTATTCTCGGAGAGAGACCAACTCTTATCTGCCCCTGGGAGCCCCGTAATGCATAGCGTCATTTCAACATGGGGGTGTCTGCGACACGGTTTATATGCAGGTAGCGGCGCTGCGGCTGCTTCATATAGCGACTCGTTGCATTCTCCCTCAACCCAAATCCTCGGATCACGCATTTTAGCTAAAACGCTAACGTTAGCTTGCCTTGCGTTGACTGTAGAGTTGTGGGTGATGGTCACGCAGATGTGTCATGAGATTTGAAGCGTTGCTGCCTTTCACAGACACTTTTTCTGCACGTGCTGCAAACAGGATCGCCGTCTTCTATCAGCTGTCCCTCGGCATTCTTCAAATATCCAAAAGATGCCCGTACTTCCCACTTTGTCTTCTTTGAGGGATAATAAATGTCCTGAATGCTGCTGTCTCCTCCTTTGACCATTATTTCAGCTTTAGCTTCAAGAAAGTTTTGGTTGTAAACAACAAAGTGCGCATGTGCCGCCGGTGTTGTGCCATAAATCGACTCACTGCCAAAAAATGATTAGCTTAGTTTTTTCCAGTTCGGAAGTTGTTTTAAGTGTTGCTATTTGTCTTAAACGTTCACAATAAGGATATATTAATCCTTTTTGCAATATTTGCGATTGAAAGATGGTTTGTGGTAAGAACTGGCTATCTTTATGTTACAGCCTTGATACTAAAAAATAAATAAACAATGTAAAATGGTGCCCTGTATTGAATGTAAACGTTGTATAAATGTAAATAAAAAATTCTCCAGCGATTTGATTTTTTTCCCCTTCCTTTCTTTAGTTGCTAATCATTTTTTGGCAGTGAGTCGATTTATGGCACAACACCGGCAACTTCAGCAGATGATACGGTGGCTGGTAAGGGTCACCGAGCCTACACCGCAGCCACGGTAATCCACCGAGATAATATAGTTTTTTAAAAAACAAGACGGTTATTATTATTGTCAACTTTTTTACCGGGTTTTACCGCTACACCGGTTACCGTGACAACCCTAGATCAAAGTGGGTCAGATGTACAATCTGGATGCAGCAGCTCAGAAAGTTTAAATAAAGATTTAAATGAAATTATTTAAGAATGGATTCTAAAACAAAGCGGCGGCAGGAAGAGGGATGCTAAAGCCGAAGTGGTCTGCTCACGTAAGAGCCCTTGTAGGTGGTCCATAGAGATCCGACCGATCCTAAACAGAAATGCTTTGTGAAAATCCAGCTGAGAGGTATTAAAAAGGATAGGATAGGTTTAAGTTTTACTTTAAATGGAAGAAACAACTTTCTCCACCGCATCAACCTGCAGTTCAGAAATCTGAGTGCCACTCATGGACCAGAGCTAACTTCCTACGATAGTCCACTTCATCTGAGCCAGGCTTGAAGCTCATCTGGTCTTTTGAGCAAAGCGAGACTCTAAAAACTAAAAGTAAACAGCAAAAAGGACGGAAATCACGTGGTGGGGTTCTGGCATCTGCTCTGATGACCCGACATCAGTGTGGTTGCTTTTAGCAGCTGGAGGAGGTGGTTCTGTGACCTCGGGTTTCTCCTTTCTTCATTTATTTTTCTGATGTTCTCCATGAATATCCATCTGTTCCAGTTTGAAAGTGCACAAAACCTAATGAAGGTGTCACGTTTTCAGCATCCCCACCAACTCAAGCAAGTCCCAGGGACTAGAACAGAGTCCTCTGGACTTGCAAATGCTGCCTTTAAGGGAAGAACTTGTTTTCATTTCAAATGGAACCTTTTGCCATTTTTGTTAGATTGAATAAAACAAGCTTTCTGATCTCAAATGTCCCCACATCCATCCTAATCTGTTTTGAGGAGAAACAAACCTTCAAAATGTTTACTTCATGAAATCTCACTCAGACTTCCGAGTGATGAGTTTTCAGATCTGATCCAGGTCAGCAGGTCACCTACCTTGTAGCAGAGGGTCGCCAGGTTGGAAGGAGACTCTTCTCTGACGGCTCGGATTTCTGCTGCAGGAACCAGAGCAAAAACATCCTGAGTAGCAATGGGTTCTGACCAGAACTGATCCCAGAACACGTCGTCTGTGGCCTCGACGGGCTGCAGGACAGGACACACACACACACATACATTCATGCAGCTGACTGAAACACCAACATCTCTGTTTCACACATTAAACACATAAATAATATAAAGGACACAGTGTTGGATTCACTCTGAATTTATATGTTTAAGCGGTTTTAAACTCGCATCTTATGAAGTATAGTTCCATCTGATCAACACAGTTCTGCACCAATATGTACGATTTCTATGTAAAACAATAAAAACAAAGACACACAGATCTGGAGAAAAAGAGCCCAAATTCAACATGAACATGACAGCTTTGTTTGTTTGTTTGTTTGTTAATTTATTTATTAAGACCTATTTAAAACGACTTGAGCAGCTGTCTTTAGAGCAAGGTCATCACCAACCTTTGTGAAGCTGAGAGCTACTTCATGGCATTGAGCCACACCAGGGGCAAGCAGGTTGAGACATTAATGACCTTTGAACTACAATAGAGCAGACTTCAAATAAGGCTAACTATAAAACACGTATTTTCGTGTTTTTTCTATATTAGTGCATTGTGACTACAAAATATGGCAGCAGATGTTTCTGTTATTTTAGTTCAGACTCGTGCTATTTGGAGGAGAGATTGCCTGTGGGCACCTTATATGATTCCGGGGGGAACGTCACTGTAAATAAAGCCATCGCTGTAATTCTGGTTTTCTCACACGGACGCAAACACCTGCTGCCAAACAGCTGACTCATGTCGCCCGTTCATCAGACACATTTAGTAAACCCAATAAAGCTAAATGGGTTTGCATTAACGTGTAAAAATATCGGATATGGTTTATACTTCTGGAGAAACGTTATCGACTTGTTCAGCTGTGTTTTGTTATTAATTAAGGGATGCGTTTTATGTTGCTGCGCTATAAGCTGCTCTGC